ATGGATTACAAATACTTGGGAAAAAAATAAAGCTTGAAGTAATTCCTCCATATAAATAAATAAATAAATAAATTTATTCTCATAGTACAGTACATGAGGGTCGCCAGTTTACAGGCATCATCAAATTGTTACAGAAATAGAACCATATAATTCAATCACAATTTACAGGCAGTAGCAAGATATGCTTTACATGTTCGCTGGAGATTATACATACACTTGATAAATGTTAATCCCAGTAGTATAAAACAGCCTTTTCACTTGTATACAATCATTTCTGTGCAAAGTTGGAAAAATCTGCTAGATTGTCAGTGAGTGCAACACAACAGGAAATACAGGAGTATTGTCTTCGCATTAACAAAAAAACCAGGTCTTTGGTGGATGGATTATAAGTGCCTGGGAAAAAAATAAAGCTTGAAGTAAATATTCATACATAACTTTGTTGTGTGCAGAGTCCTCGAATTGTAGTTCATTGATGTGTTATTTTGAGATCAGTGATGTGTTTATCTCATCTGATCTTCAATGTCATTGTTGGGAGTAAGTACATAAGCTTCGGACGCATTAATTAATGGATTTCTACTGCTTACGAGTATTTTCTTAGCGTGAGGAAGGTTTATAAGTTTCAGCTGTTCCGACAGGAGTTGAGAATATTAACTGCTCAGCGACATTATGGATATAAGTTCATCACATTATCTAGGGAAAGGTGGGTTGCAGTTGGTGAGGGATATATGGTGCCCAACGAGCGTTCATCTGTCCATGTGATGTTGTGGTGAGTTATACCTTTTTCATGTTGTCGGTTTATGTCCATTTTATTCCACTTATTGTGTTGGGTAGTAGTTTTACAAACGAGATTTCTTGTCTGTTTGAGGATACGTATCTTAACCGTTAATGTTTTATCTAGAATTATAAATATAGGCAAAAAACAACAGGTGTAGTATTTAAGCTTATACATTAAATGGACCTATAATTTCGGAGGCTCTCAGATAGGAACTAGAACTAATATCGTTTGCAAACTCTTGTAGTTTGTCATTAAGCACCTTTTTGAAGGAGGCCAATGTACTTGCTTGACGCATTTCCATTGGCAGTTTATTCCATATCTGTGCATACCTAATCAAGTAAAACTTTTGCCTGGTGGCTGTTTTACATTGTTCGATAGCTACTGTACCCTTAGTATGTCTTAGTTTGTAGCCATTGTCATCTGAAAGTCGAGTGCCATTAGTAGAGGTAAAAACTAAGTGGTTTAGAAGCTTATAGTAAAGTGTCAAGTTTAGTCTCAGGCGTCTTAGCCATAGTGTTTCTAGTCCTAGAGTATCACATCTAGTGTAGTAGTTCGTACCATTTTCAGTTCCGAGTAATTTTAACGTGAAGTACCTCTGCACTCCCTCGACTTTCAATTTGTCCTCTATGCGTGTGCTACTATACATGAATGAACAGTAATCAAATAAAGGACACACACAAACCTTGTACAACAGAATTCTAGACTCATTTCTGTAGAAGTTCCTGAGTAGAAAGCCGATAAGTCTGCGTGACTTTGACACTTGTTTGGAGATATGTTCAGAAAATGATAAGTTATGTGAATATTTCAGCCCTAGGTCCAGTACAGATTCCAGTCGTTGAAGTGCATGGCCTTGAATTGTCAGGTCAAGTTCTAAATTGTTGCAACCTATGCAGAGCCAGCCACATTTTTCGACATTAAATTGGAGTTGCCAGGTGTCACACCATCTATCCATTTTTTCTAATTCTTGCTGTATGGCGTTTACTGTTATTCCAATATCTGTGTTCTTGCATTTATACGTCACTTTTAAGTCATCTGCATATAGTATTGGTTTACCTACACTAAAGCATTCACAGATACTGTTTATATATATTATGAATAAGAGTGGGCCTAATACACTTCCCTGGATTACACCACTACTTACTGGTTGAGGCCTTGAGATTATCAAGCCAACTTTCGTCGTCTGACTTCGACCACACAGAAATGATTTTATCCAGCTCAGGAGAGGATCACATATCCCTAGTGAGCATAACCTGCTGACTAGCAGATTATGGGGAACTCTGTCGAAGGCTTTTGTTATATCGAAATATAGTACAATTACTAGTTCTCTGTTGTCCCTACTTCGTGTAACTTCATTGAAAAAGTCTATGTGACAGGTCACACATGATCTTTTTTTAAGAAATCCGTGTTGTGATGGGTTGATAAGTTCATGTTCTAGTAAGCTGTCTGACACTTGGTCTTTAACCACTTTCTCCATTATTCGGGATATTACCGGTGTTATATTGATAGGTCGATAGTTGCATACACTGGTTTTGGCCCCTGCTTTGTGCTTAGGTAATATGTATGTGGTTTTCCACACTTCAGGATAAGTTCCAGTTTCCAACGAGAGAGTAAATATTCTAAGTAACAAGACTACCATTTCCGTGCTACCATTTTTGTACATGACAGATGGTATGTCATCTGTTCCAGTACTACCATTAGACTTCAAAGTCTTAATCGCTGAGTCTATATTTTGTATATTAAAGTCTATTCCGCCTAATTTGTGGTTACTTTTGCAGGTCATTTGGAAGTTTTGGGTCGGGTGCACTCTGGCGTCATTGCAAAACCACTCATTGAGGAGTTCACTTATAACCTGGGGATCATTGTATATTATACCCTTATGTTCCAAGCTGCTTACAGTATTGTCTTTACTGCTTTTTAGACGTTTCTGCAATATCCTACAAAGTTCCTGAGTTTTGGAGTTGCCCACAAGCGCTTTATTTTCTTCAAGTTGTGACCTCATTTTGTGTTTATCTTCAAGCCGTTTAAGAGTTTCATGTATTTGGTTTAACGCATTAAATTCCTTAAATACATGGTATTTCCTTTTAAATTTCTTTAGTTTTAGTCGCGTTTTGCGGTCTATAAATGGAGTTGGTGTCTTTAGAGCAGATTTTAGGGGCGCGATTATGTCTCTTGCTGAGCCAATTGTTTTGTAGAAAATATCAAGTGATACTTCTAAGTTATTGTTGATGAAGTATTCTTCCCAGTCAGAACTTCTCAGCAGATCTGATAGGAATTCCCAATCGGCATTCTTATAGTCCCTATACTGATAGTGCACCGGGGAATATTTAGGTGTGTGTTTAGTTGTTAGTCGGAGGGGTAGCGTGCAGTACAATATGTTGTGATCACTGTTATCAAGTTTATTTCCTACCTCTATCGAGATGGGCTCTATTTCATGACAAAGGATTAAGTATATATATATATATATACCGGTTGACTGACTGTTGTTACGTTTTCTTATTCTTTCTCTGTCTGTTAGTCTGAATACCTTTACTAATTATATCTATTATTATTACTATTATTATCTCTTTTCCATTGACGACGATACCGAAAGACTAACTGGTGAAAGGATCAACTCCATTCACAGTAGTAACAGTCTTAACACACTTCATACTGCAAACCCCATATAATTATCCCCAGCGCTACTCCTGTTGGAGTCAACCAAAGCTACGACAGTCGAGTGGCGGGACGAGCTACACAGATGTTTACCAAAGATCAGGAGCCTCTACCTCACAATCAAGAGGCGAGCACAAAGAAATCAAATTGGTTTATACCAGCTCGTAAAAACGATATCGGATATTGGATGGGTAGGCAACTAAATTCGTCTTTTTACTTCTTCACATTGTATCCCGTCTTACTCTCCTGACAACTCCAGCTACTATGCTTATTATTATTACTGATATTATCTACACATATATTCATATATATTTACTTCAACTTCAAATTTAATTGGCTGTCTGTTTTTACGTTTTCTTTATTTCTTTTTCTGTCTTTAAGTCTGAATCAGCTACACTAATTATATCCGTTATACCGGTGGATTAAATGGTGAAAGGATCAACTACATTCACAGTAGTAACACACCACATACTACAAAGAACATATAATTAGTCCCAGAACTATTCCTTTCGGAGTCAACTAAAGCTACGAAAGTCGAGTGGCGGGACAATCTACGCAGAAGTTTATTGAAGATCAAGAACCTTCACCTCACAGTCAAGAAGCGAGCATTAAGAAGTCAAACTGACTTATACTACCTCGCAAAAACGATATTGGATATTGGGTGATGTCGTCGATAATAATAATTCATTTCACCTAATTTATAACTGAAGATCAGCCTCTAAGCTCATTACAAAAGAAGCCAGTACGCATAAAAAACCTTTCAAAATGATAAGCATTTAAGGACGAAAAGTAAGAAAGCAACATTCCTTGCTGTATCACCTGCTTTATTAGGCATTGAACATCACTGAATTTTTTAGTTGTCGTTGCTTATGGAAACCTTTTGGAACACTTTTGAACATGCAACGGATTGATGAGGTGTTCGAAATAAGGAGGACTAACTTGACGGATGTGAAGCAAATAGAGGAACTGAAGGACAGAGTTAATTTGAAGGGATTCGGTAAAATAAGTCTGATCAAACTAATGTAAATGAAAAGTTTTTCTGACACTAACTTCTATTTAGCGAGAGGTCAACATTATCTTTGTGTATAACTGACAGTGAGGAAATTTTGGCTGGACATGCTTGTTTTTATGAGTATCCAAACAGTGACGAATTTCCACAGGATGATTGGATTTCAGTTTTTAGTACTAAATACCGCATTAACAATGTGACAAATACAAACTCGCTGTTTGTGCACTTGCTTGTCTTGGATTCAGCAAATGAAAAGATGGCTTTAAGTCAGATACTGAAATCTGCTTTTAACATAGCCCATTCAGTTCACCACATATTTTTGTTGCTAGAAAGTGACTACAATCTTAGTAAATTGTTCTTGAATAATAAAATTTTAATTTCTCAAGGAAGAGTGCGTACACTCTCCACCATTTCATAAAATTCAGAAAAGCAGCGCCTCATCAAACGACGTATTTTGCGTCTACCGACACGAAATCTCTCCTGTTCTTTACTGTCGTCCAGCCACGTAAGATAAATACATGAAAATTACTTTTAAGTGTTGAAGACACAGATGACCTGACGCCTATGATAAATGCTCACTCGGACCTTCTTCGCAAGGTGTATGGAAGTTACTATTTGTCTGAGTTGATTGAAGCTCAAAGTGATGAACTCAAATGCATTGTTGTGGAGGTTTGTTGATAGGTTAATTTTAGTATAAGTCCTAGAGTGATCGTAGAGCTGTTGGATTTATAAGCGGAACAAGAGATGTGAACATTAAAAGCTTGAATGAACATTATGATTTGGATGTATTCAGTGGACTAGTGAAGTGTGACGGTCCTGCTGAAAATATGTTTCTGCCGTCAAATGAAAATGTCACCTCAAGGAATGATAATGCATTAAATAAAGCAGGTAAGGTTTTCCAATGAAAATTACTTTGTATCGTTCAAAATAAAGAGTTAGGACACTAAGTTTTAGTTACTGAAAATAAGAATGTAATATGTAGCTAGATTATAACAGTACAAAATTATTTGCGATTTAACTTATTATTTGGCATTACTTTAATGTAGAACAGACTACATCGAACTCCAGGAAATATTGAACTTAATTATTAACAAATGTAAACATTTGTCTTAACATGCTATGTAGGCCTTTATTTGTAAATCATAGTGACATATTATGAATGTTGAACTAGAGGAAATTCTGTTAATTCGAAAAACACTTTTATTCGCATTACTTCAACTATACCTTCACGAATAAGAATTGTAGCGTAACACCGAATCTAATAATTGTGCTGGTCCTACTGAGCTGCAACCCCCACACAAGAAGACTTCTTCCTGTGTTTTTAGCATACGTATTTCCGTACTGAGCCAAACCAACTAGTCTCATTTTCTTTAAGAAACATCACAGTATATGGCTAAACTGTATTTTATCATCCCCAAGAGCAAGTAAATATATATTTTAAAATGTCAAATAAAAGACACATTGGTGAAGAAAACTTTCTTTATCAATGAAAACATTTTACTCAACGTAAATTTCCAATTTGTTTAACTTAATTTCGAAACATACATCAGACTATTCACTATCATATTTTATTCATGAAAATAAATCATATCTAAGCCGTATGGTTCGTATTTTCTTCATCAGTTCACCGTTGTGACGAGATTATAATGAATTTAACTATTCTAAAAACTAAATCACGATTTCAACTTAGTATGGGCGTAAATAGGATAACGTATTGTTATTAAATCGTGGTTGAGTATTAATTGAACAGGGCCGACAGGAGAGACGTGGTTGGCCATTGTGAACAGGATAAAAATGTAAGCAACTGATGTTTGCCTTCACTTTGGTTTGCATTTATTAAGCTTAGATCAGAAATCAAAGGCAATGACAATCCATGAGTTTTCCATGTGGTTGTAAATTACAGGTAATGCTATTGGTTGTTTACACTAAACGTGATTTCACTAGTTGCCTGATAAATCAATAATGTACCTAACTTGTAAGTACCAGCAACAAAACGCGCGAATCAAAAATACGCAGTTAATTAGTAATGTGTACTGATAAGCAGCAAATTTGAATAAAATAAATCGATAAGATTATTCAGAGAAAAGAATTTAGAACTTTTCTAGCTAGTATGACTGAATTACAAACTCAGAGAATGTGCTGGTTAACAATATAATATATATAATACAGTTAGTGACAATTCATAGCTGAACGATTTAACCCAACACAGAGGATGCCCAGAAAATTTAATCTTCTTAAATGTTCCATTTTAACTGACCAGATCTAATGATGGTAGTGTAGAGAAAAGTGAATACTGATTAACAGAAGACTTAAATGTCTGTATTACTAAGTCATACAAATTAGCTGAAGAGACACAGAAATGCATAACTAGGGAAGACTATTTATGAAATTGATGTTAAACTCAGAGATTAAAGAATTTGATGGCACCAATTTCGGTCAATCCGAGAATGACAAGGATGGTGTAAAAGTATCCTTCTGCACCTAGTTATTGAAAAGTCGACACTGAAGTCATTAAATGCTTCAGCATTATTTTTCAAAAGAAATCGTCTGTCAAAAATATTGTAGGCACAAATAGTTGAAAGTTTTTACAATATAAAGGAAAAATTTTTGAAGAGAATTTAAAAAATGTTTTCATCGTCGACTAGATTCATGCTGACTTAAATACAGAAAGCATTGAAAAACGTTTATGTATTCATATCTTTGATTTAACCTAGTTGTTTTATTTATCATGGCCAGTGCTAAAATGAAGCGTGTTATTGGTCACTAAAGACAGAAATGCTGTAGGGTATTCAAATCATAATTATCTCCGATACTTTTTTGGTAAAAGTAATGAACCGAAGGTGTTGGCATAGATCATCTCATCTAATCCAGTGAGATAGAATAAACCAGTTCACCTCAAAAGAATTAAAAAGAAACAAGAAATCACAAGTAATTCAAATAAGGTAGTTCCACATAAGCTTGGGAATAAAAGTGATTGCAAAATACTCAACTTAGGAAGTATTTAATAAAGTTATAACCAAATTTAAGATGGAAAATTGGCAGATGAAGCGATCTGAACAAGATGAATGAGAAAATGTCAGTGGAATAAAGTACGTATAACAGTTAGGTTGGAAATAGTAGGTTCCTTATTATGATAATAGAAGTGGACGAAAGATTTTCTTTTGTATGCACAACTCCAGTTTCCCCATCTCGAGGAATAGAGCTTCATTAGTGGAAGGGAGGTGAAATCAGGTCATCTTAGGCAGGCAACTTTTTACTTTGTAGATCACCTTTAAGGCGGAGATTGTTGAGATAGAGTGGCCAATGTCGACAACGTGTTCAGTTATTGCATTTCTTACATAGCCACGTCTGTCTTTCTACAAACATGCGGGATAGTGTTCTTGAATTCGTTTAGACCTTTTTTTAGACTGACTGTTGTACTCATCTTATTTATCTAACCGTTTCTGACTCATTTATTCTTCTGAACTCCTAGGTAACATAAAGTCTCCTTTGTTTCTCTGTGTATTCTAATTGCAACTCACTTGTTTAATTATTTATCTCATTACTTCATTCTGTTACCCTTATTCAACTACTTATATGCACTAATTAATATTAACAACTATTCCTGATCCCTTTACTGTTGTCTACTTTCACGAGAAAGGAAGAAATGTACATAAGTTTGATTGTACAGGTAAAGAAAGTGAATTCTTCGAAAAGAGACTCTTCTGCGAAACACTTATCTTGTTTTTACTAATATCTAGATAAGAATTATTCGTGAATTAAAAAAGCAATTCGAACCCGCATTCTGTGGATCATTAGCCGGCTTAAGAAGTAGCTGTCATAAGTCAGTCGGTAAAGTAACAGGCTACTAACCTAGTCATCACTGATATGAGGTTCTCTGTGACCTTAGCCCAAATTTAATATTATTATCCCTATTTTTTTATTCCTTCACGTTCCCAGTGGAACATAGGGCTTGAAGTTTCTGTAGCAGTGGTGATTATTTTTACAGGATGGGGTTGCTAGCGCCTTATGCTCAGCCTTCCCTCTTTACCAGTCTTACTACTGGCTTAGCGAGGTAAAGGAGTGCGTCTGTGGCCAGGCGTCGAACCGCGGACCACCTGCGTGGCCGGCGAGCACTCTACCGCATATTATCCCTTTGTTATATAAAATATTTACTTTACTTCAGACTTTACGAACCATTTCTTCCTGACTGTTAGTGAATTCTTCGTTAAGTTGAATCCAGAAATTTAGTTTCTGCATAAAGCTATTTATTAGCGTAGTTTTATCACTGATTAGTGAAGAGAAACATTTAGATGTTTTGAAATAATAATTGAGGTACATAATCGGTTCATTTCTAGAGTCATGAGTGATATTAATGCAGTTTAGAAGACAAAAGGGTTGGACGAAGACACATTTGCCTTATAATTCCATTTTCATCTGCCTTGTTACTGTTCCCGATGGATTCCAGCTGGAATACAGAGGCTTCAGCAGCACACCTCCACTTTTTCCTATCTTCTGTGGTCCTCTTTTGCTGGCCTAATGATGTCCAATAGTCTGCCACCTCTTCGTCAAACGATCTTCTCCATGTCAGCCACGGACCCAATAACAACTCATCATTTCCCATTCGGGCTCCACTAGTGTGACAATGTGGGGCACGATTTCATTCGATAATCTCCTCGTGTGCCCAATCCATCTCCATTTTGCTCAGCATATTTGTTGGGCAAAAGATTTTTAGGTGATTCCTTCTCAAAGTTTCGTGATGCTAATTTTCTCTGGCCATCTGATTTTTACTGGGGAGCCAATGATACCAGGCGTTGATAAAAGTCTTCAGTATCTTTCGTGACGCGCCAAGTTTCTGAAAGTCTGAATTTTTTGTTTATGCTGAGTGCAGGAGATCTCTGAACTCATTTCAGTTTGATAAAAGTCTGCCTTTCCTTTCCGATTCTGTTTTTGACATCCTCATCGGTATTGACTGCCTGCAGTTAAAACGATGCTTCCTAGTAAACTGAAGGCATATATATATAATACGATACAGAAAAATTTACCGATCTAGTGCTGATCAGTTTGTTAACAATAATTAGTCGGTACCAATCTGCCAAGGGGTAGTAATTAACCAATAACATTAAAGAGTCACAATTAAAGAGTAGAAACACTAGCAGAAACTAAACTAGTGTGTGTCGGTGGTACAGTGGTTATAACTCTCGCCAACCATGCACACGGTCCGGGGTTCGATCCCCTGCCTACCCACACCTGATATCTATGGTCGGCCTGCAAAATTTGGGCTACCGATATCACATGTTGAAAATTCCATACCTGTACAAAAAATACAGTATGTAGTCAAGCTATAATCACAATAAAATAAAATATCATACATAATTGTGGGAAAATGAGGAGTAATTAAGAAGTGAGTGAGTGAGTGTTCCAACCAGTTGCGCAATAAGCAGTTTGGGATGAAGTAGTCAGAATAATAGGATAATTAGTACAAGTATTATTTGTAAAAAGCTTAGAGGGAGGGAGAAATTGTCAGTCTTTCACATTGATCTAAGGATAGCCAAAGTAATGAAAGTGACAGGAAGAATTTTTTCTGAACACAGATACAGGTCTGGCTTCTTCGGGTGGACTACAATGGCTTCAGCTGTACGCAAAAGACGAAAGCGTTAAGCAGAATCAATATTGATCCTTATCAACTTTATGCTCACTATATATAATGTGTGTTAAAATAGAGCTACGAATAGATCCTATTTGTTCCTTACTTCACTGCTGTGCAGGATGGTGTAAGGAATTCCGATGATAATGATGGGCGTACAAGTAGGCAGGTTCATCATAGGTTTTATTATTCTGACTATTACATCTTTAATTACTTATTACATAATCAATTTGAAAAATCACTTATTTAAGAACACAATATTCAGAGAAGAGACTCTTTTCAACGAATTTATTATCAAGCTGTACAGTCATACATATATGGCTTTTATATTAAGAAACTATATCCGGTGAGGGAATTAAGTCAAAGGTGTGAATACATGAAATAATAATAATAGTATGAAATGCAATTAAAATTAAAATGTTTGTGATTATAATTATAGTTAAATGTCAAGTAGCAAAACAATTAATGTCACATATGGAATAATACATAAGGTGTATAGATGTTGGAAAGGGTTGCATAATTATAGGATTAGTAGGTGAATATAAAATGTTACATAAAATGGTGTTAAATTTGATAAGATAGAATTCAACAATGTAAAAAAAAATTTTGGATTTATTTTGATTTGACACTAGTAACTAGTGTGATGTGTCTAGTCCTCTCTTTGGTGCAGACTGAATTCTATCAGTCAGGAGGTCAATCGCGAGCCCGAATAGCTCAGTGGTAACGTCTCTGACTGCAGCACTGGGTGACGCAGGTTCGAATCTCAGAAGGGATATGAGTTCGTTCAAGGTTGCAGATACGCCTTGCTGACCAGTGAGTGCCAACTAGCACGAAACCTAGGTCCAAGGCTTCCCGCCAATTGCCTCCAACTATCTAATTTTAGATTCAGAATGACAAGTGGAAACAATTCAGAGTGAGAATAGTAGTAATAATAATAATCGTAATAGTAAGGCAAAGGTACAAAGATTAACTAAATAAACGAAATAAATAAATAAAATAAACGTCTATTCCTCTACGGCCAAGGCAGAAGTAGGGATTGCATATACTTCTTTTGTACACAAAAGTCTGTCTTTAATTCATGAATGGCCAAGGCCTCCATTGTTTTTAGAAGTTTAACACGCGGCTAGCAAGTTAGCATGGATTCGGGAGATGATCTTAAAATTATAGTCAGGGTTGGTAAAATGACAGGAGTCGATCAGATGTTTTAGAATAGAGCTTCGCATACCCTTTGTTTCTCCCTTGTAAGACCATGCTGGAGTATGTTTTTGTATCATTGTGGCTACGGCCAATGTCCTTTGTTCCACAAGAGGAGCAGGTGAACTGATAGATACATTTGGAGGCGGTGAGACGAGGCAGCTTATCTTTTACAGAGATGGAGAACAACTTGAGACTGGTGAACGTCATTTGTATTTCTCAGTTAGTCCTTATTTTCCCCAAATTATCCGCTATACAGTGCATTTATATCAATTTTTGCAATTGTTTCTACCCTTTAACTGTTTACAATAATACAGATGAGGTAAAAAGTTGTGTGAGTGAGTGACTTGATATGATAATGAGCAGTAATAATTTATGCTCGAAACGTGGTCATCAGTAAATATTACTGTACAACATTGTGTGATTTATCAAAATTAAATGTTATCTACGATGGAGTTATACTCTACCACAGTGCCCAAGGTTTATACTTATATTAATTATCACCTCCCTGATATGTTGATATTGTCTAATTATTGTCAAACAAACTTACTACCACTAGATTGGTAAATTTTTGTATTCTATTATAAATGCTTACTATGTTTGAGTAGATCCGCGGACGGGGATCAAACTGGAAAGTAAACACTTCTTCGTTCAGTTCTTTAGGCTTCTAAATGTTTAAATGGGGATGAAATAAGGAAATCTAAAGATGAATATACTGTATTGTGCAGAAAAATGTATGTGAAGAATGCGTTTTGTGAAACTTTTAGATTCTGTAAAAGTGGAACGACGGAAGACAAGGGCCAGGGAACAGATCGTTCATTGAGAAAATCAACAGATATTTATAGATTTTTATGTACATTATTATTAGCCGAGAAACAGCGTCTTCTGACTGGTTGTTTTCCTGCTGAAGGTTATTCAGTCATCTCTTTGTGGCCATTTCTTTGAAGGTTAGACCATCTATCTGCGAATCGCATTCGGTCACGCTAAATTTGCTACGATTGGTTGTAGATTTAGTCCTTGTTCTTTTCTCATGACCAAGGTTTGGTACGTAAACACTGATGTAAATTGCTGTCTACCAATTTCGGCTAGCAGACAGCTCTCACCACAAAAGTACCTTGTATATATATACATGTACATATATACATATATTTGATTGAATTGACAGGTCATATATCAGCAAGTTACACAAGTACTGAGGAACAAATCAATTCGTTAGAGTTCAATCAATCACATTATGTTGATTCTTATCCAACAAACGGAAATGCTCAAAAATGTCACTGGACAAAAAGACTTTTACTTGAAAATAGAACAATGAATGATACAACCAAGTTAAATTTAACAGATTTTACAAAACCTAATGCATTTGCTATACAATGCTTTATTATGAAACCAGAATATGAGTCTAGGTAAGCATATTTCTATGTTGGGTTCACTGTTTCTTTTTTTAAGAAGCTCGCACTAACCACTGAAATAACTTTGTATCATTATGCATATGAATATAGTTAAGAATGCAGTCAACCACTTGGTTGAATACTGACCTGAAAACTGTGTATTGCGTAGAAAAATGTCAAATTTTTGGTTTGCAGTGGTTTGATCGGTCACAGAATTGATCACGAGTTAGAGGATCATTGGGAAACCAGCTGTTTCATCCTAGTTTGGGGCTTTTTGTCAGAATGCGCCCACTGGGGGTAAGAACCCACGACCTTGCAATTAAAAGCGAACTCGAGTCCAAGTGGCTGAATAGTCTACCAGGTCGTCTTGTACCCAGAAGGTCCTGGGTTCGTACAACTGAAGAATCTTAAACTAGGACGGGGCAACTGTCCAGTGCTCCCAATTGTTCTCTAACTAATATGAACATATGTTCAAATCTACATACTGAATGACTAGGTATAATTTTAGAATAATTGTCAGTCCTAGTTGCAGTATTTCATAACACAGTGTCAGTATGAAAGTCAGTAAGGAAGAAGACAAACGCCATTGGTTAACGCACAATGAAAGACCTATCGATTAACTTATACTGAAATTCGCCTATGCCCACCACTGTTCTTTTAACAGCTGTATGACATGCTACGAAGCCAACTAAAATCTTTCTAATGACACAATACTGATATTAAATACTTCCGGTAGATACAACTTTAAGCTGTGTAATTTAGCGCATGATTAGTGAGCCGCATGACAAATATTTGCTTCGACTTCCTCAAATAAACTTTAATTTTTCAAGAGTTGATTTGTAGGGATTTGTTTTTTAAAAGTTTTGTCACGGATTGGTGTCAGTTAGAGAACCGTCGAAAACCAATCAGGTAGTACTTGACAGGTGTTTCGTCCAACTGTGGCAATCTCCAGCAGTATGCACCGACTGGAGTTCAAATCCAGGACATACGGATCGTGGGTTTAAGCACTGTACTGATGGGACTCGACTGAATGGCCCACGAATTTCAATTTCGACCAATTGGTGATTTCGCCGCCACTACAGCCAATGTTATCGGCAAGTATTTGCCCTTAGGCCCGATCTAGTGGACCACACTGGTCACGATGTCTCAATAGAACTTCAGACAACTTAATCTTGTAGCCAGTACCTAGAGAACAAAGTGCAAACTAACACGTGAAAACTAATGTGGAGCTCGCCACTGGTTGAAGGTGCCTGAAGGTCTTACAAGAAGTCGTGACCAGTGGGATCCACCGGATTGGGCGTGAGGACAAAGACTCTCCGATAACATTGGCTGGTAGTAGCGCCATTTGGTAGAAATTGGAATTCATGGGCTATTCTATAGAATCCCATTGGCAAAACGGGGGTGTGACCTTGATCTTGTAATCTAAAAGTCCTGGTTTCGGTGGGTGAGCAACGCTGGAAAGTCCCACAGTTGGATGAAACAGCTACCCAGCACTACTTGGTTGGTTTTCGATGGTTCTGTTCAGTATTATTATTTATTCATTTTTATTCCCTTGGGTTCCGAGTGGAACATAGGGCTTCAACAAGACATCTCCACTTTCTTCTATTCTATGTTTTTCTCTTCAGCTAGCTAGCCACAAAATCTCCCATAATCCCTCATCTTCTAGAACTCCCATGATCTCCTCCATATCACACTCACATCGACGACCCACTCATCGCTTCCCATTCACCTTCCACTCGAGCAATGTCCTGCATTCAGCGTGATTCCATTCGATGGCCTCCTCATCATATGCTGGATCCGTCTCCATTTTCTCCTACATATTTGTTGAGCAATCGGCTCTTGGCTGGTTCTCTGACTGACATCAATCCGTGACCAAACTTGAAATAAACTTGAATTCTAATTCGCACACACTTTATTGTGGGCCTTAAGTTTCTTTTCACTAAGCTTTGAAAATAACTAGACTTTGGAATCCTGTATACTTCAGTCATTTTTACAGAAGGTAGTCATATCATCTTTTATGAATATAGTATTTACTTGTGAATTGTCTGATGTACAGTAGCTGGCAGTAGGTAGTTACCATCTGATAAGACTTAAAAAGTTATACTGAATATAATTCACGGATTAGTTTCGTATACTATGACTAGTGAACTCAATGATCCTGATGTGGTTGTGTTCTCTGAGCTGGATAGTTAATTTGCGAAGCTTTCATTGACCTACTAGGCAACATCTTCAGCGCATACTTCAATTTGAGGTCTTTAAATTGAAGTATGCGCTGAAGATGTTGCCTAGTAGGACAATGAAAGCTTCGCAAATTAACTATCCAGCTCAGAGAACACAACCACATCAAAATCATCCACCTGAACTACAAATCTTCTCCATCATATCTAAATCTTACGAGCGGAACTCAATGATCTACTGAAGATCATTCCTTAGCTATTTAACTTATTCGTATTCCAGGTGGAACATAGAGCTTCAGGCTTGATCTCTGAAGTTTTAGTTGGAGTGGAGTTTATTTGTACAGGATGGGGTTGCTAGCCTTTTTTTCTGACCTTCTCACTTTACCGGGATTACTACCGGCTGAATAAGGTATATGAAAGGGTTTGATCGTGAATCCAACTCCGGATCACTTGTTTGATTAGCGCAAACACAATAACTTTGTATCATGTGCATGTTACATTCTCAATTAAAAATAATTAATAAAATATGCTATATAAAAGTAAGCTGAGAACAAATTTAAAAGTCTCTTTTGTTTTCTCTCTCATATACTTTGTCTTTGTTCTAATTCTTTAGATATATGGACATGTTACCGCTACTGTTTAGTCAATTTCCTGATTTAGATTATGCTATAATCTCAGTTCCTCGGATGGTCAAATGTTTTCCAATGTTAAAAAGTTTCGTTGTAAGTGAGCAATGCAGATAAAATTTTTTGGAAACATCAACAAATTCTAACCAGATGTAACACATGTTTTTTTATTCCTTCACGTTCCCAGTGTAACATAGGGCTTCAAGCTACAGGCTTGAAGTTTCTGTAGCAGTGGTGATTACTTTTACACGATGGGTTTGCTAACCTCATGCCCAACCTTCCCTCTTTACCGGATTTATTACTGAATTAGCGAGGTAAAGGAGTGCGTTGGTTGCCGGAGATCGAACCCGGGCCCACCTACCGCTCTGCCATCAACGCATCGTTGTAACAAATATACGCTCACATATTTAAATTTGTTAACAAGTTATGCAATAATAAGAGAAATAATCTTAAATACAGCAAATGAATAACAATAATAAAGTCCATAGAATGTGTAAGGAGAAAATTCAGTATTCTATCAACCAGGAATTTGTATAATTGTGATTAACATAGGCGAATTTATTAGGATAAATTTAAATACTAAGCAAGTTCAGTAGCATTCATCTGACAATACCACGTGTTAGGTGATCCGCAACGGAAAAATCAGCGAGGCGTTCGAAGTGAAGACAGGAGTAAGACAAGGCACCTGCCTATTATCACCGATGATATTCTTAATTGTTATGGACTGGATTATGCCTCAGACTGTGCGTGGGAAATGAGAAGAAAGGAATACTTTGGACCACCAATGAGAAGACTATAGAAGATCTGGATTTCGCGTGTAGATGATTTATGTTTAATGTCACACAAACTCGAAAACTTCCAGGCAGGCGAAAAGGAACAAACTGGCTGAAGAAGCAGCCAGAGAAGACTTGACTTCAGGTGAACATAGGTAGGATGGAGGTGACGAAGATGACCAACCAGCAGCAACAGAAACAACAGCCAGCACCAATCGCCATTAACGGGAGAGATTTAACAGAGGTTAATTCATTCACTCATCTAGGAAACATCGTTTCAACCACAGGCGGACGGGACGGATGAAGATGTCAAAGCTGGCCAGAATCTGAAAATCACAGACGTGAAAACAGTTTCGAAATCTTATACACTAACTCAGTCAGCATAAACAGAAAGATTCGGATTTTCAACACAAATGTCAGTCAGTCAGTTTTTTATACGGGTCAGAAACTTGTACTGCATGTCACACAAAGGATTTCCAGTAAGTTACAGACTTTTATCAACAGCCATCTTCACTGGGTTCATATTGGAGATCAAATGACCAGCCGGCTGGCCAAAAAGAATTAGCAACAAGAAACTCTGGCTGTGAACATATCAACCAAGAGCCTATCGTTCAACAAATATGCTGAGGAAAATGGAGATGGATTAGTCACACGTTGACGAGGCCGTTGAATGGCATCGCGCTCAATGCAGGCTATTGCTCGAGTGAAACCCCAATGGAAACGACGTGAGGGTCGTCGGTGCGAGGGTAATATGGAAGATATCGTGTGGGCTTGAGGAGATGAGAGATTATATGCTATCATGGGCCTAGATGAAGAGGAGAGTAGAAAATAGAGGAAATCGAAGATGCGTTGTTGAAGCCCTTTGTTCTACTACGAACCCAAGAGAATACTGAATAATGAACAATAAAAAAATAAGTTTGGCATCCATCCACTGCAGCTCATTCCAATCGACTGTGGATTCTAACTTTTGCCAGTTCATGATAAATAGCGTCACCTCCAGCCAATGCCATTGACGACTATCTATCCTCACACTTCATTTAGTGGTCAGGAATAGGTATTCTAGTTCAAAATCATAACAACAGAGGTCTATTCAGTCAGGTGTGAAGACATATACACACTGATGATATCGACTTGTGATGGCGCTACATTTCCTGAATTGACAGAAGTTAAAATTTACTAACTATTGGGATGCTTTCCAGCGGCTGAATTGTCAACTGACTTGCGTTGTGATCTGATGGTGGTGGGTTTGATTCTTCGTGGGGTCATGGATGCGCAATGCTGAAGAGTGCCAAACTGGGGTGAAGCAGCTGGTCAATACTCTCTGGCTTTCCATGTGTCTCTGACTAAGATTACTTAGTGGTCTAATTTGAAAAACTTCTGTGTGATTAAAAAACAGACATCTGGGCAATATTTGATGAACACTTAGTACTTAGAACAAACTGAATACTAGTTCTTGTTCAGAGGTGTCAAATTTAGAGTGCATTTCAATGTTGTCATCTATATGTTAAGAATCAATGGAGAAAAAATTTAACCGAAAAAGGCATATAAATGACCAATCCTATGCAGCTACATTGTACCCTTGACTTCCATCTGCCTTTATTACCTTTGGATATCTAATCTTAAGTTGCATATAAGAGTAATGTGGTAAGAGGTGTCCTCGAACAAGCCAAAATTGTGAACAACAATTTCCATCAATGTTTACGTCCCAAACAGGGGTCATGAGAAAAAAACAAGAACAAAGCCTAACTTTGAGGAACTTAGCAACCAATCACAGCAAAAAATTAGCGTATGTAAATAAGATTCGCAGATATATGGATAACTTTGTAAGCAACGGTCGTAAGCAGTGCAGAGTAACCTTCAGGAGGAAAACAACCAATCAGAAGACGCTGCTTCTCTGCTAAAATAACTAACTATAATGTACATAAAATTCTATAAATATCTATTGATTTTCTCAATAAACGATCCGTTGCCTGGACCTTTTGTCATCTGTCGTTACGGTAGGACAGTTTAGTCAAAACAATCATCAACAGGTTGATTTGTAGAACTTAAGCACTTATACTTCATAAATTAGATTTAAAATAATGACAGGAAATATAAGTACGTGAAAACTGATATCGTCTTATATTTTCCTTTTTTTTTCTCTCATGATGTAGCACTGCAGAATAAGACGAAATAAAGATCCTGAGCATGAATTGTATGTTTTTCATCGGTCTGAACTTCACAGGTAAATTCCTTTTTGAAATAAATAGTATTGATTTTCAATTAATTGTAAATGATAAACAAAGTTTACTATTAACAATTCATAAAGGATTTGGGGTGAGAGCTGTCTGCAAGACAAAATCGGAGACAACAGTTATCGTCAGTGTTTGCGACCCAAATCAGGGTCATGAGAAAAAGCAAGAACAAAGACTAACCTTGAGGAACTCAGCAACCAATCTCAGTAGACTTAGCGTGGGCGGATACGATTAGCAGATATATCACCGGACTGTCTAAGAAATGGCTACAAAGAGATGACGGAATAACCTTCAGCAGGAAAACAACCAATCAGAAGACGTTGCTTCTCTGCTAACAATAATGAATAATAATATACATAAAAATCTATAAATATCTGTTGAATTTCTCGATAAATGATCTGTTGGTTGATCCTTGTCTTCTGTCATTACAGATTAACTTTTCGATTGTGGTAGACTGAATTATGTGGAAGACTGTGCGTGGGGGCGAGAAGACAGGAATATATATTAACACGATAAGAAGACTCTAGAAAGTCTGAACTTCATGGATAATTTATGTCAACTGTCACATAAATTTGAACAGCTACGGGCAAAAATCAACAAGTTAGCAGAATACACAAACAGTGAAGACAGGACTTCAAGTGAACCTAGAGCAGATGAAGGTGGTGAAGATAACCATCACCCAAAAACAACAACAACCACAACAAGCGTCAGTCACTACCAACAGGAGAAATTTGAAAGACGTCAGGCAGCACCGGTTGCAGTTACAGATGGCACGGATGAGAATGTCAAAAGCAGAATCAGAAAGGCAAGGCACACCTGAAATCAGCGTGGAAATTCACTACACTCAAAATAAAGAATGAAGTTCGGATTTTCAGCGCCGATATTAAGTCAGTCACTTCTTCTTTATGGCTCAGAAACTTGCCAGGCGTGTCACAAAAGCATTTCCATCAGGCTACTGAAGACTTTTATCAACAACTGTCTGCTCTGGCTTCATACTGAAGATCAGATGGCCATCTAGAAAGAATTAGCCAACAAGTAACCCTGGGAACGAACCAACCAAGAACCTGCTGCTCAACAAATATGCTGAAGAAAATGGATATGGATCACACATACACCGAGTACACGAGCTAGGCTATCACTCGACTAGAAGTCGAATAAGGAACAGCGAGTTAGGCGTAATTCTGAGGGTGATATGGAGAGGATCGTGTGAGGAGGAAGGAAATGAGGACTTATAGACAATCATAAAGCCAGCTAAACAGCACTGCACAGAACAGGATAAAGTTGATAAATGCTGTTGAGGCCCTGTTTTCTGTTGGGAACCCAGGGGAATAATAATACATTAATAGTGACCTACAGGCGTCATTTGTTTTTGTAGATATTTGTTTAGTCACTCAGTAGTACTATGTATGTCGGTGGTTTAACGGTAGTACACTCGTCGACCACGCCTCACTTGGCTCCGGTTTGATCCCCGGCAGACCCACTACGGAGTAAAAGGAGAACAAGAACCGAAAAGCCTACGTCTCAAGAGAACAAACGCTTACAATAGTATCATTATCAGGCATCTTGATATGGATCATGGGGTGGAAATCACAAATTCCTTTAAAACTATCAATAGATAAAAAAGCTCAATTCTCCTCAAGTTTGTCGAAGCAATCTCTATCAAACGCCTGAAACCCGATTTATGTGTTCAGAAAGAAGTAGTTATCAGTCTTTCCTTGCCAGCCTGGTAACTGGATATCTTTGTTCTTTCTTTCATTTGAATTTCGTAATCTTCGGATTTAATCTCACCCCACTTTGGTGTAGTGTAATTTTGCTTGTCTCTTGTTTCTATGATTTGAGTTGAACTCAGTACAATGTCACCCAATCTATTAGTTACTCATCATCTTACATATCTCTCGTCTTACTACATAACTCCTTTACCATTGTATGCATACACTTACTTTGTTTAAACTTGAACTGCCTGTGTAAAAACTATATAAGCGTGATTTTCTGAGCACTGTTCACTAATTCCGGAATCTCCTGTCTACTGACATCATGTAAAATCTGCAAATATGCCAGAACTTTTCTGTACATAAACCTCATAATTGATTTAGGCTGTAAGCAAGCAGCTGATGAGAATCCAACGAAATAAACGATGATGGTACCATATTATTCTGCACAAACCACACTGTTGTTCTTGCTTTATTTAAATTAAAAAGAGAAGGTTGGGCTACAGGTGAGCAACTACACCCCATAAAAGACAACAAAACCACTTCTACTGAAACTTCACAGCTCCAAGCTTGAAGCCCTATGTCCCACTCGGAACTCAAAAGAATAAAACAAGAAATATGGAATGAGTAGTGCTATGCACAGTGATGTATGTAATGTCCAGAGGTGATGTGTTCTGCTAAAGTTTATGAATTCTACAAAGCCTTCTATGGTAAATTTTTCTAACTGTCTCATCTTAGATAGTCTAATCCGCTTCATAAACATTCGAAATTTCATATTCATTTAATCTAGTTAAACAAAACTGGGTATGCTATGTCATGCTTTTTCCTATTGTGACTGCTAAAAATGTGTGATACTATTAATATATGTGTAAAACTTGGGCACTGTGGTGGTAGGTAATTGCATATTAGTTGGTTAATTAGATATATCACACACAATGATGAAACAGTAATACTTACTGGATGACACAGTTTCGAACACAATTTATTATTGTTCATAATCATATCTTCAATCATAATTACACGACTTCGAAACTTGAGTTTTATAGTTTTCTTTGTCCTATCCTTTTTGTCGTCGTTGGGGTGGGAGAATAAAGTGTCATTCAAACCACCCACAAACTCAATTAGAAACAAGCTTTGTCAGTTAAATGGTGGATCCTGTGGAGCCGTTAAAACAAAACAATTTAGTTTATCTAATTCCCTGCTGCAATGATTGTCAGGTCAAATACATAGGTCACAGTAGTAGGACAGGGGCAGTCAGACTAACAGAGCAACACAAAAATCAACCAAAATCTAGATTAGTTGACCACAATAAGATAAGAAATCTAGAGAATACTTCAGCTATAGCACTCACTACATGCACTTACACATCCATAAAAAATTGGATGGGATACGATGATAGTTTTGAAATCTAATGTAACAGCAGAGTGGAGGGAAAGACTTATAACAGAAGTTTTGTTTATCGAATCAACTGAAGAGAATACGTGTAACAGGAATGATTCAACACCTGTCCAGTTGGAAATCTGGAAAATTCTACTACCCCTATGAAGATGAATAGGAGAGAACAAAGAAAACTATAAAACTCAAGTTTCGAAGTCGTGTGATTATAATTGATATGATTATGAACAATAATAAATTGTGTTCGAAACTGTTTCATCCAGTAAATAATACTGTATCTGTGACTGTGTGATACTTCTTATAAACAAACTAATATGTGTGATACAATAATATAAGGCGGTTTCAACAATCATAATTATTTCCTTTTATTTCTATTCATATTATTCAAATGGATTTTAGAGATTTCATTGTACGACGTGCAAAACGCTCTGAAGAGGAAGCCATTAAATCATTAACTAGTTATATGAATCCATTGGATCGGTCTTTATTCTTAGCTGATTTAAATGCATTCATACATGATGGTAAACATAAAGTAAGTTGTTTTATTAATATCAGCATAAAGTTTTCAGCATTGTGGAAAAGATCAAATGAAGGCATAATTATATTTCAATAGTTTACACACAATGATAAGTTTTGTTATTGGTAATATTTCGAGCAAAATTACTGCCCATATTCACACCACTGTTGGAATTGTTTTGTTCACACATTTATGATTTGTACTCATATATATATATATATATATATATATATAGTTCATTTTTTGTTCATTCATTTTTGTGTATTCAGAACTATATTCCAAGTTGTTGACAGTTGTGTTGCTGAGTCACCCTTGTTACATGTATCCGGTGTGGTCTTAATGTTATAAGTCTCTTTTTCCATTTGTTCATATTAGTTTTTAGAATACAAATATTGTTCCAGTCGAATTTTTAGATTTTGCCGTCGATTGATTGGACCGAAGTGCTCGGTCTCAGCTTGACATGTCGGCTTCTTTTTCAGATGCTTCGACGATGTCTGGGCATTTAATCAGAATTTAACTGGTGGAATCCAGGATGCTCATTCCGTCCTGTTTGGGACTCGTCATCTGGATATACCTGCATTCCCCAGTGAGTGAGGTGGCTCTCGTGGCTATAGTGGTCTAGTGGATAACGCTTTGGCGTTTGAAACTATGGGCACTGGGTTCGAGCCTCGAAAGGAACATCATCACTAAGTGACTGGGGAATGCAGGTACATCCAGATGGCGAGTCCCAAATAGGACGAAATGCGCATCCTGGATTCCACTGCTAGTCACCATCCACCAATTAAATTTGTTCCAATCGATATTGTGGTTTTTGTCCCATGCATGTGCAGCTATAGATGAATTTTCTTCTAAATTCTTGTAAGCTTGTGTTCCTGTTGGTTGACCTTTAGTTAGGCGTTCATGTTCATTCACCCTTATTTTGAGTGATCTGGATTTTTGAACAACATATTCAGTCGGACACTCCTTGCAAGATATTTTATAAATCACATTGTTTTTATCCATCATTTTCATGGGATCTTTCAGTTGATTTATTTTATGTTTAATTAGATTCGTCAGTTTTGAGGTTTCTTCGAATTGCCTCTGATGTACATTTTTATAGAGTATTGTGGTCGTTGTCTTGCCATTCTCCGTCTTGTCATTCTGCGGTTTACCCTCTTTTTTCTCCTTTTTATATTATCTTTGATAAATTCTTTTGGGTAGTTGTTGTCGAGTAACATTTTGAATAGGACGTTTATTTCTTTACGCTGGTCCTCTGGTGTTGTTGTAAGTCTACGTATTCTATCTGCAAGACCTTGTATTAATCCTCGTTTTACCGTGAGTGGATGAGCTGAGTGATAATCAAGGAATCTTCCAGAGTGTGTAGTTTTTCTATATAGCGTCGTTTTTATGCTACCATCTGTTATTCTTTGTATTTTGCAGTCTAACATAGGCAGTTCCCCAATTTCATTCTCTATTTCCATAGTGAATTTTATTGAGTCGACATGCCTGTTTATGTGTGAGAAGAATCTCACAACATTGTTTTTCTTTCATTACTACTAACTTGTCGTCTACAAATCTCCACCAAGATTTTATTGATGACCTGAATGGTTTATATATGAGTACAAATCATAAATGTGTGAATTAAAAAACAGAACACCTCCAACAGTGGTGTGAACACGGGCAGTAATTTTGCTCGAAATATTAAAAATAACAAAACTTATCATTGTGTGTAAACCATTGGAATATAATTATACTTTATTTAAGTTGTTTCAATTAATGAAATTGGTAGAAGATAAGGCAATTTGTATTATCCGCTTTCCATTTTTTGTTTATACAAATACAAATTAAAGAATTTCGCCAACTGACTTATCTTTCATAGCTCAGTTGATATCAGTGTTCTAAAGCAGTAAAATTAATCCACTTAAATAAATTCTTTATTACATTTGATAGTATATTAAGAAGTTGGTGAATACACCGTGGCATAGAGTGTTAAATAAGGAGGGCAATTAAGAAGTCAATGACGTTGTGAAGTTACGTTAATTGAGACAGCTATTTGATATTAGATAATTGGAAACAATCGGCAGGATGCTTTGGACCTAGGTTTTATGCTAGTTTGCACTCGTCAGAAAGGCGTATCAGCAACTTTGAAGGAACCTATATCCCTTCTGAGATTCAAACCTGTGTCACCCAGCGCTATAGTCAGAGACGTTACCACTAAGCTATTCGGACTCGCGATTGACCTACTGTAGGATTACTGTGTTGGATACTTTGACTGGACACTAGTTAGTAACTAGCATTATGCGTCTAGTCCTTTGTTTGGTGCAGTCAAGTTTGCTAATGTGAACAGGATTCTAGGTGGGTCGCCATCATGGTGAGACGTGTAGTAGATGAGCTACACATGCCGGAGCACTGTCTTCCTTAACAAGAAATGTTATCTGATGTAGGATTAGGTCGGGGAAGAGTTGGGAGTGTTCAAATCAAGACCTGATCTCAAACCATGAAATCTTTGAGTAGCAGGATTTCATCATGAGTTAACATTAGTTAGAGAACCATTGGAAAACCTGAGAGTGCTGGACAGCTATTTCATCCTGGCTTAGGACTTTTCAGCAGTACGCACCTATCGTCAGGGTTCGAACACAGGACCTTCTGGTTGCAAGGGAGCTCGTAGACCATTAAGCCACTTGGACCCCATTCAATGTCCAATCCATGAATTCTAACTTCCGTCAATTCCTGACCAGTAAGGTGCAGCAGGTCGGGTGTGAGGACAAATACTCGTCGAAGACATTGGCTAGCGGTCGCAGTATGTCGTGAATTGGCAAAAGCTAGAATTCATGGGCCATTGGATTGAGTCCCAGTGGCTGGATGGTCTACGAGTTTGCCTTGTAACCAGAAGGTCCTGGATTCGAACCATGGCGGTGGGTGTGTACTGATAAAGAGTCTCAAACTAGGATGAAACATCTGTCCAGTACTCCGGGGTGGTTTTCCAATGGTTCTCTAACCAATTTTAGCTCATGATGAAATCCTGTAACCAGTCAGTCAAATCCCTACAAACCAATACTTTTCACCAGTTCCCTACCAAAGCCTTAATCTCCAGCTCATTGATGGCTACTAGAGAGATGTCCTGAGAAGTTGTGGTCAGTGAGATCTTCACTGTCAAATTTTGAGTGGACGCTTATTTTTTAATTAAAATTAATTTCTAATTTTTCATTAGAACTTGATGTCACACCGCATTTTCGCTACGAGTATGGAATTTTCTGCATGTGATATCGGTAGCCCAAATTTTGCAGGCCTACCATTGATATCAGATGTGCATCGGTAGGGGATCGAACCCTGGACCAGATGCATGGTCGGTGAGAGTCCCAACCGCTGTGCCACCGAAGGCATTGGGTGATAGTGGAGCCATATCACAAAAAGACGGAGTTAGAATTTCAGGGGTCATTGAATTCCTGCCCAAGTGGTTGAATAGTCAACAAACTTAGTCTCGTACCCTGAAGGTCCTCGTTTCGATCCCTAGTGATCTGTTGGTCCCGCACTGATGAGGAGCCTCAGACTAGAACGAAACAGCCACCTAGTGCTCCCTGGACAGTTATCACTGATCTCTTAAACTGATGCTGATTCCTGACGAAATCCACTTTGAAAATGATTCAAATCCCTAATCTATAATCATTCCCCAGCCCAACCATATTTAGTCATACGTAAAGTTAGAGTTAAACGTTTTTTAAAGTGTTAACCTCATAAAACTGTTTTATATTTTTGTATTTTGTTATTAGGATGGAACTCTAATTTCATGTTATGTTGCTGTTGCTTTGGGCAAAGTTGTTGGTGTAGCAATCTTACGCGATGAAAATGTGAGCTTCTCAAATTTAACTGATACCACATGTTGCTTTTTTATCATTATTTTTTCAGTAAAAATATTGCTCAGGTTGACTACTCACCTGTCACTAGTTGACTATTACTATTACTTAAAATTAATGAATTTCGCTGTCTATCGCGAATGTAGAGTATGGATTTTTTTTCTACTATTTTTATTCCTTTACGTTGCCAGTGGAACATAGGGCTTCAAGCTAGAGCTTTGAAGTTTCGGTAGCAGTGGTGTTTATTTTTACGGGATGGGGTTGCTAGCCTCATGCCCAACCTTCCCTCTCCACCAGTTTTATTACTGGCTTAGAGAGGTAAAGGAGTGCGTCTGTGGTCGGGGATCGAACCCTGGACCACATGCGTGGTCAGAGAGAATTCTACTCCTGTGCCACCGATGCACAGAGTATGGATACTACATGTCAATATATTTTGTAAGATTACAACTTGAAATTTATAAGAACAAAGGTTTATTTGATGACAACACAAATACGAAGGAATTTAAGACATCTACAGATATATATCATATAAAGGAAGGATTTATGAGACCGTACGTAGGATTTTTAATAGACGAGGAATTAAGCTGGCATCTGAGCGTAGGAACTCACTCAGGGAGAAAATGCTCTGTATTGAACTAATTAGACAAAATACCGTAACCTACTAAATACATTGCAATAACTGTGAGTAGGATCAACTACACAGGTCAGAGAACAGTAGACTGGGGATAGTCAGATTATCAGAACATAAGAATTTATCTGAGTGTAGAATGATTAACCCCGCGAAGATGAGTAATTTAGAAGGCTCAGATATTGCAATCAGTGCATTAAAACACTGTGCGTCGGTGGCACAGTGGTTAGGAATCTCGCCGACCATGCACATGGTCCAGGGTTCGATCCCCAACCGACGCACACCTGATATCTATGGTCGGCCTGCTAAATTTGGGCTAACGATATCACACGCTGAAAATTTCATACTTGTACCAAAATACTGTGTGGAATGAAGCTATAATAAAATTAAAATAAAAAATATCGTGAGATAGGTACATGAGAGAGCTTAATCACTGAATATTTCTTAATCGAATCTACACTTACAACATTAAATAAGAATGAGTCCTTAGAAATACCAGAGATTTGGAAAATATGACTAGCAATCGAACCAAAGGATAAGAAATAATGAAATTATACAATTGAATTTCTAAAGTTATGTGAGTCCCTTGATATGATTATGGTCAGCAATAAATTGTGCTGGGTAACGTGGTCATCGGTAAAGAATCCTGTATGGCACTCTGGGACTTTACCAAATAAATTTACTCTGTGATGGAATTATACTCTACCACAGTGCTCAAGTTCTCTTCTTATAACGCGTTTATCTGTAAGGCTGTGAAAAAGTTTCCCTAAGGATTATAGGCACCCCTTTTTGGCGAATGGCAAGAAGCACGAAACCTAGATGCAAGGCTTCCTTCCGATCACCTTCAGTCATCTAATATTCGGTATAATGAGGTGCTGCTTGGTACTAGAAATATTCTGCAATTGGAACTTGTGACAAATGGTTAATTAATGTATTCGCATAGCTTTAAAGTGTATGCAATCTATTCGAATACTTCATAAGTGGTGAAAAGATTATTTGCTATCAGCTTTTAAGTTTGGCGATCATAATTTCTCATGAGAAGCTGTCTTATTAATGTAGTGTACACGATTCTAGTACAAAATAACATCTGATGGTGTCTTAGTTTCATCTTAGACTCAAGAAGTGTTATACTCAGCTTCTAAACAAATCAGTTATATCTGCTCCTGGTTGTCTCTGTTATTGCCTGTTAGGATGAACAAGCTTCTTTGTTAGCCGTGTAGTAATGATTTATGTGTATTTGAAACTTAATAATTACCCTGATAAATTAGTCACAAAGCATGTAGGGAAATGTAAAAATAAAATAAATAGTAATAGTAGTGATAGTGAGAATAATAATAATAATAATGATATTAATGACGACATGCATGTCAAACATGCGCAGGACAACACCAACAATAAGGAATCTAAATCATCAGTAATAATTCCATACAAGGAAGCAGCCTCGGAAACCTTCGCAATGCAAGAATAAAAGTGGCACTCAAACCCAAAAACTCACTTAGAAAGAATCTTTGTCGGTTTATCTAATTCCCTGTTTGCAATGATTGTCAGGTCAAATACATAGGTCAAAGTAGTAGAACAGGTGCAGTCAGACTAGCGGAGCGTAAAAACCTAGCAAAATCTAGATTAATTGACCCAAATGATAAGATAAGAAATCTAGAGAACACTCACTACATGCGATTAAACACAACCAAACAATGTGCTGGATGGGATAAGATGACAGTTTGAAAATTTAATATATCAGCAGGGTGGAGGGAGAGACTGATAACGGAAGCTGTATTTATCGAATCAACTGCAGATATGTGTAATAGGAATGATTCAACACCTGTCCAGTTGGATATCTGGAAAATTCTACTACTCCAACGACGACAAATAGGAGAGAACAAAGAAAACTATAAAACTCAAGTTTCGAAGTTGTGTGATTATAATTGACTGAAGTGATTATGAACAGCAATAAATTGTGTTCGAAACTGTGTCATCCAGTAAATAATACTGTTTCTCTGACTGTGTGATACATCTAATAAACAAACTAATATGGAATTACTTACTACTATAGTGCCCAAGTTTTACAAATATATTGATTTATGAATCCACTGACATGACAACCTAATTGAGCAGTTTTTGATTCTTTTATTAGTGGCTTAGATTTCTGAGGATATCTGACATAATACAACCAATCACATTCTTTTTTTTTGTTTATGGATTCATCTCCTGAGGTTTTGTAAATATGATACACAATGCATTTTGTCTAATAAACGTGCTCGTGGTTGAATCTGACAGTTTGTGTCTAACTCAGTGTAGGAGATAAATCCAGACGACCAGCTTATTATCGTGTCGTGTCTGTTAGCTCATTCTAGACACGTTAGACGACATCACTCTGTCATATTGTGGTGAGAGCTGCCTGCTAGACAAAATTGGTAATTTACGTCAATGTTTACATCCCAAATCTTGTTCATGAGAAAAGAACAAGAACAAAGACTAACTCTACAACCAATCACAGCAGACTTTGCGTGGGCGGATACGATTAGCATATGTATGGTCTGACCATCAAAGAAACGGTCACGAAGAGATTACAGGATAACCTTCAGTGAGAAAACAACCAATCAGAAGACGCTGTTTCTCTGCTAACAATAATGCTAAGAATAATGTACATAAAAATTTATAAATATCTGTTGATTTTCTCAATAAACGATCTGTTGCCTGACTCTTGTCTTCTGTCGTCACAATAACATTGTCCTTACTTAGATTAAGTATACTATTTCATGATAAATATATTTCACGTAACAATGTTTTCTTTTTATTTTAACCACACAAAAATAAAACAACTTTACAGAACATAGAATGGCTTCGAACTCATTTTAACATTGAAGATTTTATCTACTATACACATCATGCTAGAAATGAGCATGTTTGCTTGTATCATTTTCTGCTGGCTGCCAATTTCCATTCGCATACATCAATGTTTCTACGGGAAATTTTGCGTCAATCACGTAAAACATGCATTTACTATCGTGTACCACCGCCATATGTATATGAGTCAGTAAGTTTCAATATGAAAATTCATTTTAAATTATTTTATATTAACCACTTTGTTAACTAATAATAAAAAGAAAATAAAAGACAATAAAAATAATAATCCGGTATCGCATACTCTACTGCACTCATCTGAAAGAATAAAATTCCGGTTTTCAGCACTAATAGTAAGTCAGTCACATCCCTTCTATATTGGTCAGAGACTTGGTGTTCGTGTGTCACGGAAAGTATTTTTTTAAATAGGCTACTTCAGACTTTCATCAACAGCTGTCTGCCTTCTCTGTCTCCATGCTGAAGATCACAGATGACCAACCAGAAACGATTAGCAACAAGGAACTCTGGTAAGCAGCGAACTCATCAAGAACCTATTGTTGAACAAAAATTGCAAAGGAAATGGGGATGGATTAAACACATTTAAGAGACAGTTGAATGATACCATGTAACAGACCATCTCTTAAGTGAGAGACGACAAAATGGGCATAAATTTGAGAGTGAGATGCGTGAGATCACCTGGGGAGATGAGGACTTATGGTTAATCGTACTAGAAGACGACATGACGGCTGATACACAACCACGATGTATCACTCCCTTTGAGTTCCAAGTGGAATCTAGGACTTCAAGCTTGAGAGTGGCAATTTCAATAGGTGTGGTGCTGTTTTGTTGACGTGACGCCAAACCTATCCTTTCCAACAGCGTTTACTACCGGCCAAGCAAGCTTTAGAAGTACGTCTGGTATGAGTCGAAGTCCAGATCACATGCATGGTTGGTGAGTAAGTTAATATACAGACATGCCTATTGGATTCTCTAAAGTGAGGAAAGCATGATTTAAGGGTAAATGAAAATTATTCAGCCTTGGAAGGTTAGTAAACTTCTGAAAATAAGTTCGAGTTTTTTCAAAATGATATCAGAGGCACAGAATGATATACGTAATCGTCACTTATGAATCTGTAGAGAAGTATAATAAATACGACGTTGTTAAATAATAATCAGAGTTATGGATGTTACTTTGTGTGTTATTTTGCACACTAGACTGGTTGACGTAATTGCAGAGGTTCCATTATCTATGTAGACAACATAATCAGTTCTAACAATAATATCAGCTTTATTCTTGGCAAAAATGTTTACATGGTATGAGGAATTCTTATCATCCAGGATCTTCCCGCAAAGCAGCAATCAGTAGAGTAGATTATGTGACACAATGCGCTGTTCATTTTGAAGCATAGACTATTCCCTCACAACATTTTTCTACCATCTTCGAGAAATGCACACCAGTACTCCGAGATCCCATCAAAAATGTTCATGAATACATTGTGCAACACAAAAACATAACTGAATGAGAATAAGGGGAAATATGAAGCATTTTAATGGATGGCAGTTCATGTAGTCAAGTGATTTAAGCAGTCTGCTAGAAAACATAAAAAAAAGCCAAATCAATAACTGTGAAAATACTCTTTATATCACCATTTGACTGGATGGAGGATTTCATCATGAGTTGAAATCAGTTAGAGAACCACTGGAAATCCTGGGAGTACTGGACATCCAGCTGTTTCATCCTAGTTTGGGACTCTCCAGCAGTACGCACTCACCGCCAGGGTCAGAACCCAGGACCTTCTGGTTACGAAGCCACATCGTAGACCATTGAGCCACTGGGACCTGATCCAATGGTCAGCCCATGAATTCTAACTTCTGCCAATTCACGACATAGTGCGACCATTTCTTCGATGAGTTACTGCCTCATCTTCAACCTGCTGTACTCCTCCATCCAGTGAAACTAAATCCCTACAAAACCAATACTTGAAAATATCACCATTTCACAGTTGTCTAATTAGTGAGCTATTAGAGTGACACATCATGCCTCAACTTCTCACATTTTCGCTATACGTGTTAAATTCTAAAACCGTTTTGTACGCTTCGTATTAACCAAGTCAAGTTAAAGAACGGTTACTCGTTGATGACGTTAGCTACTGGTTACCCTATGTATTCTGCTAGTCGATAGAGGTTGGAATTCATGGGGCTACACACTGGATCGGGTCTCCATTCGCTAATGAGTTCGCCTTGTAGCCGAAGGTCCTGGATTTGAACCTGTTTTGGGAAGAGTCGGAGACAAGGACGAAACAGTTCTTTAATAGTAATCCATGAGAACTAGTTTTATGCCTATTTATTGCTCGTGTAATCCGGAAATAACAACCTTTCATTGAGTAACATACTTCTCGTTGCATTTCTGTCCATTTCTTTTAAAAGTTCTATGTTGATACAACACTGATAACTTGCCTATCAAAATTAACTCCTGTCAGTCCAAGAAGACAAATTAAATATCCAAAAGCCTTATTAAATGATATAAAAGCACCAGAGAAAAGAGTTTTAGAAGAGGTGAATTCAATACCAGCCCTGTTTATGACAACAGCAAAACTATTAATGGAACCGAAAGAAATAATCAATGCTAGAATAATTGTCGTCGGTGCATCAACAACCGGTTTAGCAGTACTTGAAACATTAGCCACATGGTAAGCGAGTAAACACTACTTCACCATTTCTTTTTCTTCTCCTCAATCCTTGTAGAATCATTTCAAAAAAACTTTAGTCTATAAAAGTGCTATGTAAATGTTTTTTCATTCACTTCGCTTTAAAATAAAGCAAAAGGAAAAGCCATCATTAGGATTGGTTAGTTCTAACGGACCTAACTTACCTCGATTCTATGGTAGACCAAAACTACACGAACCAAACATTCCCATACGACTAATCGTTTCGCTTCCAGGAACACCAACATATAATCTATCTAAAGAACTTTTCAGGAAATTAAATTACCTAACAGAATCATACGACCATTCTATCAATTCGTCAATCTAATTTTTAGAGAAAATCAAAAACGTTACGTTGATGATACATTTGTAATAATTCAGAGAAACGATTTAGAATATACTCATAAATTAATAAACAACATATTTGAAGACATCAAATTCACAAGAGAAGAGAAATCAGATAACAAAATCCCATTTTTAGATATCTTAATCAGGAGAACCAACACAGGAGATTTAAAAACACAAGTATACAGCAAATGAACGCAGACAGAACAATTACTCAACTATACTTGCAATAATCCAATTACCCACAAACGAAACTGTGTGCAGACATCGTTTAAAAGGGTTCAAACACAATGTAGCACTCCAGAGTTTAAAAGAGTGGAAGAAAAATACCTACAAACGGTCTTCAAAAAGAATGGTTATCCACAAAATTTCATCAAAAATGTTTAAAGTCGAATCAAAACACCAACAAGAAACCATCGTCAAACACCACAAGAAAATTCATCCTACCATACATGAGAAATATCTCTGAAATAACAGCTAGAATACTGAAACCGTTAGATATAGATAGAGCACACAAACCAGTAAAATCGCTTAATTCGATATTATGCAAACCAAAAGATCCAACAGAAAAAGGAGATAAAATTAATACCATTTACAAAATGCATTGTACGGACTGCAAAGAGCATTACATCGGCCAAACTGGGCGTCCTCTCCGAATTAGAATCCAGGAACACAAATCAGCCGTGAAAAGACATGATATATATTCTTTAGTATCAATGCATATAGACAATTATGGACATCAGTTTGATTGGAATAATGTCGAAATCTTAGACAGAGGAAACATCAAAAGTGCCAGGGAATTCCTAGAAGCCTGGTACTCAAACGAAAATTCAATTAACAAACACGTTAATTAAAAGTAAACCAGAAAGTTTAAAATCCAAGTCAATAGAAAATGGTCAATGCATATGTAAAGATGGTTACCGGGAGACGCAATTCTATCGCTCATGAAGAAATTTAAATCATTTCACTTTATGCTAAATATTGCGCTGAAGATGGATGTTGTCCAGAAGGACGACGAAAGCTCCGCAACTAAACCAACCAGCTCAGAGAACACTATTAATTGCAGTTCATATGTTTCCTAATTGTTTGTTCTCTTAGGACGACAAAACGGAGAAGTTACAGAATGGAGAGAGATCCAGGCAGTGTAAACGTACGACTGACCTTGATATGACCAATCAGAATAAAAAGATTTTTTACATTTGAAAATGCTGTTTACTAAAACTATTCAGTAGAAAAATAAGGAAAATAAAAATAATAATCATTTTCAAGAATTGATTTGTAGGGATTTAACTGATTGGTTTGAGGCTTTCATCACGAGCTGATATCAGTTAGAGAACCATTGGAAAACCTGGGAGTACTAGACAGCTGTTTCATCACCGCATTTGTGCTCCTTGAGAAGTACGCACCTACCGGGGTTTGGATCCAACACCTTCTGGTTACAAGGCTAACGAGCTCGTAGACCATTAAGCCACTGGGACCCCTATCCAATGGCCCATGAGTTCTGACTTCTGCCAATTCACGACATAGCGTGGTCGCTAGCCAATGTTTTCGGTGAGTATTTGTACTGCCAGGTTTTCCAATGGTTCTCTAACCGATGTCAGCTCATGATGAAATCCTGTAACCAATCAATCAAATCCCTACAAACTAATACTTGAATATCAATGAGATGTTCACTAGCGACTGGCCCTATTCAGGTAGGTATTTACCTGGGGTTCTAGTGGGAAGTCGTGACCAGTAGCCTACAGCAGGTTGGGTGTGAGGACAAATACTCGCAGAAGACATTGGCTAATAATCATTTTATTCCACCAGTAAAACACCCTATCCCTAATATTGACGTTGACCATAACGGCAACCCTAATCGTAACCCTAACAAGCTAACAACGCACTATCCAAACAGTAATTAAAAATGAGATTGGAGTAAAATCTGCACATGAGTTCATGCACAGCATTCATAGTGTCTATGTAATAGTGGCGATTCCGTTATTGAATGAATAACATTCATTTAAGGTCATTGGTGTGTCGGACAGACTTGTTTTTTAGCCATAAAGTCATGACTGGAGAGTTTTTAATTTGGTTTATTTATGGCTTAAATTCCTGAGGTTTTATACCATGTATTTTGTCTAATAAACGTTGTTGTGGTTGAATCTGACTTTTGCGTGTATTTCAGTATGGCAGATAAATTCAGTTGATCAGTTGGTTATGGTGTTGTTATCTGGAGGTTCATTTTAGTTATTTTGGACAAAATCTCAGTCCAGTACCACTCCAACACAACAACTTCGCATCGTTATGTGAAGCAAACCTATTTGGTTGGGAAGCTAGACCCATTTATTCATCGTTTTTGTGGTTGGGTTAGCTTTAACCTATTGCAGTTGTAATTATTCGCTTCTTTGAATTGTTTAGATGTTACATGATGTTAGATATCGCCGAGTTACTAATTGCTGTCTAGTCAACATTATGAAATATCTGTCGACGAATTTAGCCTATGTAATGCTAAACGGATCTTATTTTGTTTCACCTTAATTTGTCAAGCTCCCATTTCCATTCTACAGAGTATCAGTTGGTTTACAAACGCAAGCCTAAAATTTTATTGAACTACGCAGTTTTGTCTCTCTTATTTTGATTTTGCAGAGTGTCTTTTTCATTCTACATCTTATCCTAGACAACCTTGAGAAACAAATATGTATTACCTACCTAGAAAGCATCGTTTCAACTACAGGCGGATCTGACGAGAATATCAAAGCAAGGATCGGGAAAGCAAGGCAAGCTTTCATTACTCTTAAGTCTGTGTGGAGGTCAGCTGCGCCCGACAGCATGAAAAATAAGATCCGGATTTTCAACTCCAATGTGAAGTTAATGGCTTGGCGCGTCATGAAGAGCACTCAAACAAATTACAGACCTCCATCAACAGCTGTCTTTGCTCAGTACTTCGCTCGAGATCAGATGGCCGGTAAGAAAAGATCAGCAGCAAGAATCTCTGTCAATGAGTGAACCAACCAACTAGGAACCAACTGTGCAGCAAATAAGCAGGAAGAAATGGAGGTGGATTGGTCATACTCTGAGAAAACCATCAAGTGACATCACACGTCAGGACATCACTCGAGTGAAACCCGAATGGGAAGCGGCGAGTTTGTCGTCAGTGCGACAGTGACATGGATGAGGTCATGTGAAAAGGAGATGAAAGCATATGGGCGGACGTGGAGCCAACTGAAAACGTTGGAAAAGAATCGAACGCAATGGAGACGTTTGGCTGAAGCCTTATGTTCCTCTAGGAAATAAAGGAAAAAATAATAATAATTGCACCAAGGATTGGTTTGTAGGGGATTTGATTCATTTCCTGTTTTTGGTTACGGACTGATGATGGTTAGAGAACCGTTGAAAACCAACCAGAAAGTAATGGGAAGCTGTTCCGTCCCACTTTAGGAGTCTTCAGCAGTACACACACATGAATCCTCCCCCTGGGGGACGAACGGAGCACATCAAAGTTACTATCTCATTAGTAAGTGGTTACGGGAAAAAAGTTGCCTGGAGTTCTAGTGAGAAGTCGTGACCAGTGGGACCCACCAGGTCGAGTGTAAGGACAAATATTTGCCAATGAAACTGACTGGTGATAAGGCTAAAATCGTGAATCGAGCGAAGTTAAAATTCATGGTTCATTGGATTCCAACTCAAGTGGGTTAAATTTAATTTAGTGGTAGTCTAGAAACTCACAGAAATTTGAGTTTAAGCATTTAGTAAGATTCAAATTATGCAAACATAACTTCATTCTTTAATTTAACTTTACGTATTTTCTTATAAGTGTTACCGTTAAAAAGAACCAAACCCTTATTGATTTATTTCTAGTCCATACATTCGATTCACGAATCTAGTCCTGTTATCTCCACATGGACTTCCTGGAGATACTCTGGAGAAAATAGATCCGCTGGCTTTCAAATTTCTACCCTCAGAGTAAGCTGAATTATAAATTTTTTATAATTTTTTATAAAATTTGTATGAAATTCTAAGCAATCAGGTTATACTATTTTTTTATCTATTCAGTAGTATGAGTTTATTTCTTCAAATTGTACGCAGTATTTTAAATTAGACTGAATCAATCAATATCGACAGATTACAAATTAGAAGCATATGTACGTGATAGTTTGCATAAAAATGTAATGCTTAACTGAATATCAGATAAACTAAGGAAAGTAATTTAAAAGTTATGGATTTATGTTCTCCACAGCATGCTGTAAGTTAGCAGTAGTGGTTGGAAACTTTTCTTTTGCACACAAAGTTCCGGTTGTCCGAAGCGAATTATAATCCTCTATACTGTTTGGACTGTTCGGTATCTAGATGCCTTTAGTAGTTTATTCGGTACCCGATAGAGGTAAAAAAACATTTAATTTTAGATCTGTGGCCTGTTTTTACGAGGTGATCTAATATGGAACTGTTGATCGTCTTAAATATACCTTTTACTCAGCCCCGCTGGTAGTGACACGGTGAAAAAGAGAAAAGACTTGATAAAGGAATGCTGATTTGCAATTTGGTATCTTTATATAGCCAAATTATTTATGCCTCATCTTCAAATCATCATTTCCGTGTTATACTACTTCTGGTCTCTATATTGGGGTTCTTTGTTTATTTCCACAACATTGTATCATTTGCTTTCTCTGACATCAAATCCATTTCCCAGTTACCTGATGTTTTTATTCCAATGAAAGTCTCTTTATACAGTATTGATAAATCTTATCATTAGCACACGCCACAATAGACGTTCCCAAGTACGGGAAATTAAGTTTATAGAGCAACGGTTAATATAACTGCGTCGACAGGAGCAGTTGAATTGATACATAAAACTAGATGTGGCCTAGTTACATCGTCTTTTAGTTTCGGAATCACAGCCAGTCGTGTGTGAAATGTGAATTGTAGCCTATTGGCACTATGTCTTTCGAATCAGTCTTAACTTGGTGATCGTTATTTCGCTTGATACATCACTTTGTAAATGCAGTTGACTATTAAGAGGCCTCTTTTTATTAGATGCAATGCAAATTCGTATTCTTGTCAATGTATTTCATACATACTTTGTTCTGCTCTGTTATGGGAAAAATTTTATTTTGATCAAATCACACCATGTTATAAAGTAATGTTTACTGATGACCGCGTTTCGAGCACAAATTATTGCTGCTCATAATCATATCGTCAGTTATAATCAAACGATTTCGAAACTTGAGTTTTATAGTTTTCTTTGTTTTCTCTTATTTGTCTTCATTGGGGTAGTAGAATTTTCCAGATATCTGACTGGACAAGTGTTGAATCATTCCTACTACACGTGTTTGCAGTTGATTCGACAAAGTAGTAGAGCAGATGCAGTCAGACTAGCGGAGTGCAAAAACCTAACAAAATCTAGATTAGTTGACCTGAATAAGATAATAAATCTAGAGAATAGTTCAGCTAGCTATAGCACTATATGCAGTTACACACAACCATACAATAGGATGCATGAGATAAGACGACAGTTTTAAAATCTAATATACCAGCAGGGTGGAGGGAGAGACTGATAACGGAAGCTGTATTTATCGAATCAACTGCAAATACGTGTAATAGGAGTCATTAAACACCTGTCCAGTTAGACATCTGGAGAACTGCCCTATCCCACCGACGACAAATAGGATAGGACAAAGAAAACTATAAAATGCAAGTTTCGAAGTCGTGTGATTATAATTGATGAAATGATTATGAACAATAATGAATTGTAGGTTTATTTAGGATCATGTTTATCACATTTGAATTCACGTATTTCCCAAATGACAAATAACGTACATACACACACAAACTCATACAAAACTAATCTGTACAAATCAATTATAGAAGAGTGAACACAACAACAACTTGACATTAGTCATTACAAATATATGTGATGACTGCTAACATATTTTCCGTTGGTAAAAATGTCCATGGACAAATGACCTTTAAATAAACTGACTTCAATTTATGTAAAATTTTGACTATATATTTTGATGATTTATAAAAATCCGAATAAATCTGCTGAAGAAGCTGTGGCTTACACAGCGAAACGTTCAGAAAAATCTTCTTTTGATTTTCTTAACACGCTGAGATTAATTTAAATAATTTATCATGAATTGTGTTTGAAACTGTGTCGTCCAGTAAATACTGTTACTAATATGGAATTACTTACTACGACAGTGCCCAAGTTTTACACATATTTTAGTGATAATAAGGTTTGTGTAGGTGGTAATAAGAATAACGAAGGTAGTAATATGTATGTGTATATGTAGAAAATTCAATAAGTAAGTAGTTAGGTGAAGTCCTAAAAGTTATGTAGTATCAAAGATGAAGTGGAAAGGTAATCAAAGTTTCAATAAATGCCAGCAGAAAGTCAAGTATTACTTCTCGAAGGCGATACAGAAGAGATATCATAGTGGATTCATCTACAATTCAAATTCTAAATGCAGAGAAAATATCATGAAATAAACTCGGCTGAAAATTCTGTACACTGTTTAGAACAGAGCTATTATTATTATTAAAATCTATCCAGTAGTCGACCGACATTCACTTCTAGGAAGGAGAAAAAGACAGTTTTTCAACAACAGTGGTCGAATGCTGTCCAGCGACGACTCAGGTGGTTAGGTTTCGAGTTCCAGCCGATAGTAATCCAGGTGAAGAGAAATGGATGTTCGTGTGGTTAGCAGCTCTACCACGTAAAAAGGAACACTACTGCCACCGAAACTTCGTAGGTGAAACCATGATTTTCTATGTTCCAGTCGGAAGGTTAAGCAATGAAATAAGAAGGGGAGAAAAGAAGGGAAAAGGGTGAAAGTTAGATGTACAAAACGATTGGTAACATGGGTAAATTTTCTGTTCAAGACTTGTTATAATTAAAGTTAAGATAGTCAGTGACGAACACAGCAATTTACTAATTAAATATATATATATGTGTATTTTTGTTTAAATTTAGTCGTGGATTTTCCGTCGATCATTTAAGTCAACTGGGATTAAAAGTATGCGTCAATGTGGTTTATGGGAAGCTTACAGCCATTGACAGGCAAGTGGTTGTTGTTACTGTTGTTGTTACTGTTTTTGCTGTTATTGTGTCTTTTGTTTTGTTAAAATTGTAACGGCCTAAAACCGACCTGCTGTCGTCTGAATGCAGGAAACCAATCACTCCATCCTACCGTATAGCTCACCAAAACTTCTTTCTTTGAGACACGCGCACATACACAGAGTCAAAAAATGCCTCGAAAACAGTAAAAAGATGGTTATAGTTCTACTTAAAAACAATAACGCTGAGAAATCAAAATTACCTAAGTAGTACCATTGGACAGCTGTATAGACAAGGTGACTTTGCAGGCACAAAACAAGTACTGGAGAACAAAATAAGTTATCCGAAAATCAACTCTAAGAAGTACCTGAGAATCAATTAGGAATATTCCCATAAAGTTGGGATCAAAAACTCTGTCCAAGATCGGAATCAGCTTCACCCTTTCAAACAAAATCATACATTATTATTGTATCGTACAGTCGCAAAGAGAAGCATTAAGATGAGAGGTTAAACAGGAATAAAGATAAACAATTAGGGTTAAGTCAGCAGTTTATATGCAAGCGTCAGATACAAGATATAGAATCGAGAAGGTAAACTGATAATCATTACAAAGTTAGCTGACGAAAATAACAGACAAATCCAGCGAGGAATATATTTTTATCGACGAAATCGTATCCAGAGGCCATACAGTCGTATTTATATTTGCATGGAGGATCTCACCATGAGCTGACATCAGTTAGAGAACCACTGGAAAACCTGGGAGTACTAGACAGCGGATTATATTTACCAAAATGTATAGTAGTCTATTATTGAGTAATAGGGGAAGGGCGACGTAATTGACATAATTACTCAGAAGTGGCTTTAGAAGTAAAAATAAAAGTTACAAGTTACGCAATACTCAATGGTACAAAGGAAGAAAGGGTTATAAATTTGATAAGGTTAAAATTGTTATTGAGTGAGAATAAAAGTAGTTGAATGTCCATTTAACAAATGTGAAGAGGGTGAGAAAATGTACGAAAAGAAGATATGAGAGTGATAATATTGAATTAAACATTTAAGTAAAAGCAAACTAATCATTAAAAATAAAAATTTACAGGGAACGATAAATGAAGAGGTTAGGGCCATGGGAGAATAAGAGACTGGATAAATTTCATTTCTATATATAGAGTTCGAGGTTGTATTGACGAATCGCCAATGACTCTGCCATACACAAATGCCGAAACCTGACACCCTTTGTACCATTTGGCCTTACCTTGTAGATAATCTTGAAAGATGACTCTGATGGGAGCTAAGTGGCTTGAGTTCACCAATTGTTCGAGAATTGAGCTAGTAACTGTCTTGCATTGACCTTTTGCTAACTATGGAATTCGTCTGTGAAATTGTTGTTGATGTCTACTTTGACATTACTTTAGAACACCTTTTTTAGTTTTCAAGAGTTAGTTCTTTGGGATATAATTTGTTTCATGTTGGACCACGTATTGATGCTAGTTAGGGTAACGATGAAAGCCACCACGAATAAATGAACAACTGTTTCCTCCTATATTGGGACTCACTGGCGATACGAACCGACAGGAGTTTGCACATACAAGTTACGACGTGCAGAATATAACTTAAATGTATTAGACTTCCTCATGAATTCCCCATGGCACTATGACTGTACTAATTAGTCAGCCTACATTCAAGTTTGTTTTTACAAATCTCTCCATCTTGTAGACAAAATCTCTAATTTCAATTTTTTATGTTTGATTGGCTCACACTTTTTCGAACTTGAAAAAGCACTGCTGTTTCTTATAATTGAAACAATGTTATTTAATGATTCCCAACACAAATGACTAGCGTTCATAGCTATTCGCTAAGGCCAAAGTAAAGATTAAAAATAAACCTTTTAGCAAACTTTAACTGAATAACCAGTTCATTTTATAAAAGCAGGATGGCATGTTGAAAGTTAAGACGAGGTACAAAGTACTAAAATACTAAGCCACATCATCCTAGAGAGAATAAACGATGCACTGAATACAGAACTCCGCCACCAACCATAACAAGCTGGCTGGATTCAGGAAAGGCAAATCATGCGCTGATCAAATTGCAACTCTACGCATCGTCATCGCAGAACAAAGCGTAGAATGGCAGTCAAACCTCTAACTCACCAGCTTCATCCACTTCGACAAGGCCTCCGACAGACAGCGTAGACCGAGAAGTAATTTGGAAACTACTACAACACTATGGCATGCGGTGGCCAAAGTCTTTATCAACCTCATTCGACAGCTGGCTATGTGACAATAATACATGTCAGGTGATCCACAATGCAAAACTCAGCGAGGCTTTCGAATTTAATTCAGGAGTGACACAAGCTGGTTGCTTATTACCACTGATGATATTCCCAATTATGGTGGACTGGATTATGCGTCAGACCATCCACAGGGAGTGAGAAGAGAGGAATACGTTGGGCCGATAAGAAGACTCCATCTAGAAGAACTGGACTTATGCTTAATGCTACACGAACTAAAAGACTTGCAGACAAAAACCAACGAACTGGCTGGAGAGTCTGGCAGTGAAGACAGGGCTCCAAGTGAACATAGAGAAGATGGAAGTGATGAAGGTAACCATGTGCAAACAGTAACAACAACCAGAGGTTGCCTCCTTCACTTATCTGGGAAGCATCATTTCAACTACAGGAGAAACGGACGAAGATGTCAATGCTAGACAGAATCGGAAAGGCAAGATACATCTGCATCAACCTGAAACCAGTTTGGAAATCTTCTACACTCGGCATAAATAACAAGATTCAGATTTTCAACACAAATGTCCGGTCGGTCCTTCTATATAAATCAGAAACTTGCACTACGTGTCACATAAAGGATTTCCAATAGGCTGTAGAATTCTATCAACAGCTGCCACCTTCACTGGCTGGCTCCATACTGAAGATCAAACGGCTAGAAAGAATTAGTAACAAGAAACTCTGGCTGGGAACAAACCAACAGGTGAGAGCTGATCGCTCAACAAATATGTAGGAAAAAGTGGAGATGAATCGGGCATACATTGAGGAAACCGTTGAATGACATCGTGCACAATGCAATGTGACCGCCATTCTGAATGGCTTGCCATTATGCTGCACTCCGAGTCTTTGTTATTGCTTAGTTGGGGACAATCGGTAGGAAGCTTTCGATCTAGATTTCCTGCTTCTTGGCACTCATCATCAAGATTTATCTTTAGTCTTGAAGGAACTCATTTCTCTCCTGATATTCAAACGCCTGCTATTCACCGCTAAAGTCAGAGACGTTACCACTAGTGGGCTATTCGACCTTGCGTGGGATTGACCTTCTGTGGGACTGTAATGGATGCTTTCATAGAATACTAGATGACAAGTAACGAGTATCATGAGTCTAGTCCTTTGCTTAATGCAGACACTGAATTCTATCAGTCAAGTTTGAAATGTGGCCATCACGCTAGGAGTCTCGCCGATTGCCTCCTACCATCTAAGCTTTTCAATTTATATATGTACACATCATAAATAAATTCAAAAGTGGAGAATATACAATTCTAAACAAAAATAATTGAGCAAAGCATATACTTTTCGATAATTTCATCTTCTGGCTCTACAATTACATGTATGTTTATATACATAGAATATTCTAGAACAGTAGTCAATAACAATATGTGTTTTTTTAATTATATCGATTCGTTAAGCAAGATCAATGGAATCACAGTTCATTAAAGATGCTTAAATAATAATAATAAAGATATAATAGAAAATAGAATATCAGCTGAAATTAGAAAAATTTCACAAAAATTGAGGATCATTCAAACTTAGATGGCCAAGATAATAATAATGTCTGAATTAGCTCCTTTCAGACGCATAAATTAGGCTTCTTAATTTGGATCCCAATGGCCTCAGCAATGTTTAATAATAGAACTCTTAAGGCAAAGTTGAGATTTGTTGGTATGAGGTAAATGACTCTGAAAGCCTGGTTAACGTCGATTTGGTGTTCTATATCCACAAGATGAGATAGAATAGTGCTACAAATAGATTTTGTTTGTTCTTTACTTAACCACTATGCAGAGCAATGTTCGGAAATCCGACGAGAAACACGCCTAACTGTACGCCTTATGTAACTGGCTCCCCATGGGAGCAGTTAAATTCGTAGATACACATGGAAGAGGCGAAATTGGGCAGTTTATCTTTTACTCCAAAACGCAAAAATGGAATGGTTTCGAAGATGCAGCGCAATTCGGCAGCAGGGAATGCTCTTTCTACCGCATTTCTAAGGCGTTGTGCTAATATCTCGCTGATGTTGTCTCCGAGGAACTGCATTCGTAAGAATAAGGCTTTTTAGGAACTGTTGGTAACTTGGGCTGCTTTGATTTTAGATTCATGTTCTTATCAATAAACTTTTCTGGGTGACCGTTTTCACTCAGCAACCATTTAATATTATTAAGTTCCTGGAAACGACATTCTACGAAAGTGCCAACTGCTCAAATTCTCCTTTATTTGAAAATATTCATTACAGGAAATTTAAGAGAATAACAATTTCATCTGAAGATAAGCTATCCTACGATTATTTAATTATAACAACTGGATTACAGTATCATGCTATCTGTCCAACCAGTGGATCAGGGGATGTAGTTAAAGCAAATGAGCGCAGCATTACTATTGGTTTTCAGCAATACAAGCATAATGATGACGATGATGATGATGATGGTGATGCCAGTGACAACGGTGCTAAATATCGTATGGATCGAAAATTCACAAGTAAAATTCCAAGTTGTTGTTTTCCTTTGTTTGTTTCTTTTTTGTTGTGTTACAGTATTTATAATCATTGTCTTTATTGGCATTATTCGATTATTTCGCTGGACTTACAAGCAAAAACCGACAAACTGGTCGAAGAAGCAGCAAAGACAGGACTCCAGGTGAACATAGACAAGACGGAGGTTATGAAAATAACCAACCAACAACAATAACAACAGCAGCCACATCCACTGCCAATCACCATAGACGGGAGGGATTTGAAAGAGGTTACTTCTTTCACTTATCTAGGGAGCATTGTCTCAACCACAGGAGGAACGGACGAAGATGTCAAATCGAGAATCGGGAAGGCGAGGAACACATTCATCAACCTGAAACCAATCTGGAAATCTTCGTCACTCAGCATCAACAACAAAATTCGGATTTTCAATACAAACGTCAAGTCAGTTTTGCTATACGGATCAGAAACTTGGCGGGTCACCAAGAATATTTCCAACAGGTTGTAGACCTTCATCAACAGCTGTCTTCGTTCTATACTGAAGATTAGATGGCCGGAAAGAATCACAAACAAGAAGCTATGGGAACAAACGAAACAAGAACCAATCGCCCAACAAATATGCAGGAGGAAGTGGAGATGGATTGGACACTCGCTGAGGAGGCCGCTGGGTGACATCGTGCGCCAGGCCATCCCTCGAGTGGAACCCGAAATGGAAGAGGCGAGTAGTGGGACGTCAGTGCAAGGGTGACATGGAGGAGATCGTGTGAGGAGGAGATGAAACAGTATGGAATAACATAACAGTATGGAATAATAATCATAATAATGATTTACTTTATTCCAAAACAGTACTTGTGATACAGAATGGAATTTTCAGCATTAATCACAATATTGCATCTAATTTCCTCAAATTATAAATAAAAATTAGTCACACAGAAAATTTTTCACATTTACAATAGGGGTAATGTTAAAATCATGCAGCATATCAAATGGAAATAATAATAATGATAGCAGCTAAGGTAATAATATTAATACAAGTGAAAATTGCCGTGGGCTTGTTTCACACAGTATATAGAAATCCTAGCATGTTTAAAAGTATTGAATATAATGTTCTCTCTACATGATGTGGTGAGGGAAAAAACAAAGATTACAGCAGTCAGAGGGATAAGTTGGTGTTCGCAATTATGAGAGTAAAACAAAGAAGCAACAGGACCATAAATATAATAGAAATAATAAAAGCAAAACTTGAAGGTACATAAAGATGGATGGAGGAGATTGTTTATTTACTAGATGAAAAAAGGTTAGTCAATTCTTGCCTGACACTATTTTCATCACATAAAATATGTGCCAAGTATGGTATCATAGAATTTTTATACTTAGACGTGCGAGCATACAGTTTTCTGAAGTTACTTCTTGCTCTACCTGAGGAGATGCAAGGTGAAAGCTGAGGGTGAAGTGGATGCTCCAAGTCAGACAAAATCCCTTTAGCATATTTATTGCACGAGGTCAAGTGCCTATCGACAACGACGTTAACTATGTAGTCCACTGGGACACCACTCACCCCACTGACAGTCTTCAGCATTCTACGAATTGTGACATAATTCTTTTTAAGCAAACCAGGAAAGAATAAGGGTAAACAATAAAGAAGAATAGGTAGGATTCAAGAGTGTATGAACTGTAAGAGGAGGGGTTGAGTTATACCAGAGCGCCTTAATTTATTAATGTAAAATGTCAGGCGGAATATTTTACTGGAGATTGCTAACACATCGGAAGACCAGGAAAGATCAGAAGAGAGAAAAAGTCCAAGATACTTAATTTCTGATTTAATTCCTATATCATTGTCGTCAATCTTACAACTGTCATGAGAATGGACGGCTTCTCTTAACTGTCTTTTACATCTTAAGCTGAAATTAACAGTTTGACATTTAGAAGGATTCAGTTTAAGACCATTAGACTCAGACCGTTTACTGACTCCTGACAGAAAGCTATTTATTTTGATACAGCCATTGAGACTGTTAAATCATCAGCGTACTTCACAAAGCTTATATATATATATCGACTTGACAAGTAAATGTGTGACCAGATTGTTCGAAATGTATGGCGCAAATGCATCACATTGCTTTTCAAATAATCTCCGTCTTCGAATCACAACACTTTTCAAATTTATAAAAGGGACCAATTGTTTTAAATTTTTACTTAACTTTTATCAAATTTCTAATTTTTCTTTTCTTTTTTTACTAGTTTTAAATTCGCATACACCACAACCGGATAATCTCTTCCTCATTAATGATGTTAATGATGTCCTACCAATCATTGAATGGATAAATACCGTCTTTTTACCCCTGTATCATGCTGAATTAGCTAAATATTCTAAGCATAGAAAATTTTCAATTGAGAAAGACTCTTTTGTCGATAGCAGTAACGAATGGGGAAATGGTGCAGATATTCGTAAACAAGACAATCAGATGACAGAAGTTGACAATCGACAGGATAGTGTCAAAGAGAATACAGACGAAAAAAGTGGAGGCGGCGGCAAAGGCGGGAAAGAAGGAGAAGATGTTAAGACATGTTCAGAGAATGAGATTAAGCTACAGTCAAATGCATTGTTATTTGATACATTCGGTGGTAATAACCACCATACAGAAGATAAAAATGAGGATGGTGAAGTTGACGAACAAGATGATGACGATGATGGTGCTGATGCTGATGCTGATGCTAATAATAATAAAAATAAGCTGAGTACTAGTAATCTTCTCATTGTATATGGTTACACAATGGATGCATACACATGCATTAATGGCCTGTTGAATGCTGGTGTCAACGGGAAGTGTATTATTATGATACAACCACCACAGATAGAAAATCATGTAAGCTTTATTTATTTATTATTTTTTGTCTCATAATCGAGTATTACTGTGTTGTGTTTGTCGTCAGACTTGACTAGAAACACTATAACCAACAGATCACTTGAAAGTAACCCCTTCAGCTGATTAAGATAGACACCAAAGTCAGTATCAACCACACCGACGCTTATCAGACAAATTACCTGGTGTATCATATTTACAAATCCTCATAAATTTAAACCTTAAAAACTGTCCTCTAAGGTCATCACGTCAGTACACGCATAAATCATGACTACGCGGTTAATAAAGAAACTTATCCATCCTAAAACTAATCTAATAGAAACACTGATATCGACTGGCAGTTTTGTAACTGTAGAAAAAAGAACACAGAGGCATTTGATGGCCAAATGACAAAATGTTAAAGAAACTTGCATTGAAATTCTAATGTTCAAAAGGTCTTGCTACACCACTTCTTCCGTCTTCATACCATTCTTTCTGAATTGCTCAAAACTTATCTCCTTCTCCTCTTGTTCACAATCGTTTTATCTCCCGTGTCAGAGTGAATGGTATTGTGGTTAGGCGTAGAACTTTAGGTAAGGAGGAGAAGCCAATCGATCAAGCTGTGAAGGTAAATCGATTGAGATGGCTAGGAAATGTGTTACGCGTGCCTAACCATCGTTTTCCATGACGGTGAATGTTAGCCTTCATAAGATTAGGTTGGAAGAGAGTTAGGGGTGGAGGAGCCTAAACCTGGTATCAGTCCCCGGAGTGTTTGACAGCTAATATGAGTGATGTAGGCTAGCGTAGACTGCATGGTTAGGGTCCACGATATGGTAAGAACCAATGGCTTTAGACAGTTGGTGATATAGCTCAAAATCCTCATTCTCAATGGCGCATATACATTCGTTCTTTGTGATCCCCCAAATCCAATAAACCCTTTTTTCAACGTTAATATTCTTTCTCCTTCATATTTCTGCCTATTTCCGTTCCTTTGAATCCCTTCTTTCTGTCTTTTAACTTCCTCTGTGTGGTACAAGGAATGTGGTGACTTAAGGTGCTGGCTTTCTGTGCATAGTTCAATGTTGAAACCCATCAGTCAGTCAGCCAGGCAGTCAGTCTTGTTTACAATATAATCCATCAATCCGCTATTGAAGATTTTTGCTGAAGACGTTTCGTGGCGTACTACTAACAAATCCTTATCAATAGTATTAGTTACAGCATAATGATTAACCACAATATGAATATGTAGCTCAATTTAGATGATTTTTAACTAAAACTAGGGCATATAGGTATTACATATCTGATTAAGCTAAATACATCGGAAATCACAAGATGGTGTGGCGCCAAAAGTGGGTGAATGCGTTTAAACGAAAATTCAGAGGTTCAAGGTACACTACAGAGTGTTCTTCAACGTCCTTTCACCAGAAACCTCATTTATCCTATTATTGTATGAGTACATTCTAACTGCAGCAGGGGTCGTGCGAATTATCATCCATTGAAAGACAACTGTCTAACAAATATTCTACCATGGTGCAGAACAAACGACCTGAGAATGTTTAATTCGATATAAATAAAAGCCTTAAAGCTATTGAAGTCCAGAGAAAGTGTGGAAGGCATTCTCCAGACATTATATAAATCCCAAATTAAAACACAGGGAGATCATATTTTTCTGTTACCCGATCTGTTAAGGCAACGATAACAAATTATCTGATTGTTTGAGTCATCATAATGACTTGGGCCCACTAAGTGGAAAATGGTGGTTTTAGCTTAGCTCTGGCAACTTACTTTACTGCTTTGTTGATATCTAAAACAAAAAGTATTACATCATCCAATATCATAACAAACACAAAATAATTTCCCTTTAAAGTTAAGGCGTAATACACGCCTGACGATGCGGGTGTAGGTTGTCAGATGTTTAGTCTGAGTTACGATCATGTACGTTGAGAATACAATGTGTAAATACATATGGTAAGCCCTATGCAGGGGGTATTTACACACAATAGTAGTAATTAGTCTCCAATGTATCCTTGTTTCTATGCAAAATCTGAACTCTGCTTCCTCACTCTTGTCTAATTATATCATAAATAGTCAGGCTTTTAACACTGAATAATTTGTATACTTATATTATTTTGGAGTAACATCGCTTATACTTTCTACTCATAACTCGTAACTGTGTGGAAAGTATGTCCAAAAGTTTTGTAGCTTATATATATATATAATATATATATATATATATATATATATATATATATAAGGATGTACGCAGCTGAAAAGAATCCACGATATAAAACCAGATCGTATTATCCTGTAAATATATTTTTATTGTTTTTGGGCTCTCAAAGATTAATCGGTTTTTAAGTATTTGTTTGCAGGGATTTGATGGCATTCAGCTTTCATCACCAAGTGATATCGGTTAGAAAACCACTGAAAACTAACCAGGGACTAATGGACATCTGTTTCGTCCTTGTTAGGAACTTTTCGGCGCTAAGCATCCATGACCCTACCAGGGAATTAAACAAAGACCTTTGGGTTACAAGACGAGCTCATTTATCATTCTATCACTGGAATAGAACCCCTAGTGGTTCATGAATTCTAGCTACTGTCAATACGCGATTTTTAGAGCCACCGCAGCCAGTGTCATAAACGAGTATTTGTCCTCACAACCGATCTAGTAGTGTCCACTGGCCACGAATTTTGTCTAGAACGCCAGCCAACTTCATCTTGCAGTTGATCATTAGTGAACATCACAAAAATTAGACATCACGGAATATAGACATTGTGTCGTGGTGTGATACAGACAATGTGTTCCAACTGAATATTATTCTCACATATTGCCACAGTTTGATACGGCATTAGCAACAGAATGCTATATATGTTTGAACATTCTATCTCATATCGTTTAATGTAAACAAAATCACACGCTTCAGTGTCTTGCCTTCTGCTGTTACAGTTGGATCATAGGAATTATTAAAAAGACGGCTACAGAGAAGGAAATTTTCTTTTCGACGAAGTCATCAACTAGTCTGTACATTCGTGTATCTATAGTGAGTGTGTGAGAAATTTCCAGAATTATTCCACGTCAAAGGTCAAATTAATAAAATTACAAGGTGTAATAATCAGGAAGATCGTGTAGAAAAGACACAATAAGATCATAATTACTGAAAGACTTGACTGTTTGTATAATTACGGATTAAGGACGTAGTAATAACATAACAGGTAAGAAGTTCCGACATTTATAAAAATAACAACAGCAACCAAATCTAGTAATGCAGATAGGACTGAAGCTTAAGAATAACAGAAATAAAAGAAGGTTTGGTAAGAGAGGTAATGGGGTAATCATTATTGTTGGGACTGACTTTTCATGATGACCACGGTAGGGGCAACGGTTGGACGCAATTCTTTTGAACACATAGCATGGGCTTTAGTTTTTGGATCTCCGGTGACTCAGCTATTCCTAGATGCTTTGATTTCGCTCCCTTAGATAGGTTTGATAGCATCTAGTACATGACTTTGAAGAACTTCTCAAATGGAGCTGAATGTCCTGAATTCACCAGATGTTCTCTTACCTAACTGTATACACCCTTGTTTCTCCTTTTGCTATCCATGCTGGATAGTGTTTCCGAGAGCGTTTTACAAGCAAACGCATGGGATGGTCACATGTTACTCGGCTCCACATGAGTAAGTGAACTGGTATATCCATGTTGAAGTGGCTCAATGCGACGGCTTGTCTTTCAAATGCTGGTTGAGTAGTTTCTTCCAGGAAAATGGTATTCGTAAGGCTGACGGCAAAATTAAGTTTTACTGAGAGACTTCGAAAGCCATCCACGGAGAAGTTCTGCTTCAGTATCACTTTTAAATTCTATGTGAAGTATCAGCATCTTTTTGGGGGTGATAACTTTGTCGAAAAGAAAATTTTCTTCGTTGTAACCGTCTTTTTAAAAATTAGATATCTTATGAGTGTTAAAATTACCATTCTGATAAACGTACCTTCGTTTATTTGATGATTTACAACTAATGAAGTGTCAATAGTATGACTGTTTGTTTTTCTGCTCTCGTTATGTGGTTAGCCTCTATCTGGGGGATTTATACAGTTGCTAGAATAACCTAAAAGTTTAACTTAGATTTACTCTATTTCAGACAACATAAGATCACTTCGGTCCAATCAGTCGACGGGGAAATCTAAAATTCAATTAAATAATCAATATGAGCCGTTGCACAAAAGGTGGCTCTCGTCGCCCAAGTGGTCTAGTGGATTATAACGCTTTGGCGTTTGAAACTATGCGCACAGGGTTCGAGCCTCGGTGGGAACATCATCACTCACTCACTGGGAAATGCAGGTAGATCCACTAGCTGACGAGTCCCAGACGGGACGAAATGCGCGTTATCCTGGATTCCACTGCTAGTCACCATCCACAAATTAAGATCACTTTTATTTGATTATTTTTTGGTTTAAAAATTATATGACTAAGCAGTTTTCTTATTTCCTCTTTATTTATTTATTTATATAACAAAATAAAAAGCCTCCAGCATTTGACAGTTTAATTATTCAAAGAAAAGTACACGAACATATGAAAAGGCTAAAAATTCGTATTGGTTATGATTTCTTATTGGAGTATTGGAATAAAGGTGATGCTGGATCAACATCAGCACATATTGAAACGGTAACGTTTAGTTCAAGAGGAAAGCAAATAACTATACCATGTTTAGTAAGTCTGATAAAATACCCTTTTTTCATAAATTTATGAAATTACCTCTAAAGGTGATTGTATATACATAAATTGTGCGTGGTTGAACGGCAAAATTCGAACTAATGGTTTTCTGATAAGCAGTCTAGCGCTACCAGATTGTCTACAAGTCTCTCCTGACTAGTAATTCCTAGGCGCTGGTAGTTTAAACTCATACAACCACACAGGTTTTCATTTCAATTCCAATCACCAACCGTTTTTTACGATTGTTATTATTCTGAAGGGAACAGAGGTCTTCAGTAGTATATCTCCATTTGATCCTGTCCTTTGCAGCCCTCTTTAGGTGGCTCCACAACTGCCTGTAAGCGTTCATCACCTCTGTGTTACCCTGACACGTGATGTCACCCAAAGATCTCCTCAGAGTGTCCTATCCATCTCCATTTTCCTTGAAATACTGAACGGGTAATACATTCTTGATTGGTTCTTTCCGAGAGTTCCTTGTTGCCCATCCTTTCCGCTTAGCCATCTGATCTCCAGTATGGAGTCATCGGAGGCAGTTGTCGATAAAAGTTTTCAGAAGCTTTTTTGAAATGTTTTCGAAGTATTGACTTGACACTAGTGTCGAAAATCTTAGTCTTTTTCTTCATTCTGAGTGTAGAGAGTGAATAAGGTTGATAGAGGTTCGCAGTACTCAACCTCATAGTGTTGAATTAGTTTCCAAATCACTTTGCCGTCAGCGCAGTCGAAAGCTTTTTCATAGTCAATGAAGTTGAGGTAGAGATTTGATTTCTGTTCTATGCTGTGTTCGATTATGATGTGTAGCGTTGAGATTCTATCAGCTGGGGGAGGGTGGAGCTCTTAATTCAGATATATTTACTTCAATAACAGAGCTAAAATAATACAATGATAGTTATTTTTAAGAAAAGTGGTTTTAGTACTCCAGTTTAAATTATGAGAAATGTGTAAATGCACTAAAAGTTATATAACTTGCCAAATGTAACGACTAATTTGAAAATAGATTCGATTCAGTATCCTGTGTATTACTTAATTAGCACTTTCCTGACTGAAAGTTAAGGCCTAGCTGAAGATCAGATATAACTGTCTTTTCAACTGCCATGGCTTCTGTCAACAGTTGAACACAGACAAATAAGGTCTTCATAAAAATGATAAATATTCTACATTACTACTTATACCAACAACTAAGTATTCTATGTAGGTTAATCAAAAATTAAAAGAATAGTGTGAGTAAAACTAATTCAAGGTAATATATATTCATCGACTTCTCATGAAGATCTAAATCAAAAATCAAGGTTAGGCAAGTATTGAAATAAAAAAACCATCTTATGCATAGATTAAATAACAAATGAAATAGAGGTTCAAATTTCTGATAACTAGTCATACTGATACACACTGTAGTGAGTAGAAATTTTTCAGTGAAGCAAACAACTCTGATGAACCAAATAATCCCCTGAGTTTTGAGTGGAACATACGGCTTCAACAGAACGTCTGTGTTTTATCATGTTCTCTTCAGTCCTTGTTATCTGGCTCCATGATTGCCTTTAAACTTTCATCTCTTGCTCACAAGATCTCCTCAGTGTCACACTCGAACCAACGCCCAATATGTCGTTTCCATATGGGTTACACTCGAGTAACGGCCTGTTGCACAATGTCATTCAACGGTCATCTCAGCTTGTATCCGATCTAATTCCTTTTCTTTTGGCATATTTGTGGGTTGGTCGGTCAGCAGGTTCCTGGGTGGTTCATAATGTGGGGGACTAATTGCCCAGTTTTTTATTTTTATTCCTTCACGTTCCCAATGGAACATATGGCTTCAAGCTAGAGGCTTGAAGTTTCTGTAGCAGTGTTTATTTTTACAGGATGGGGTCGCTAGCCTCATGCCCAACCTTCCCTCTTTACCAGTCTTATTACTGACTTAGCGAGGTAAAGGAGTGCGTCTGTGGCCGGTGATCGAACCCCGGATCTTGTGCATGGTTGGCGAGCGTCCTAAACGCTGTGCCACCGACGCACAAGTGTTACCCACTACACCACTTGGGCCAAAATAAAGCCGGCAACACCCGATATTTTCAGACGGTCACCCATGCAAGTACTAACCGAGCCCAACGTTGCTTATTTCGGTGATCGGACGAGAATCGGTGCTTTCAACGTGGTATGGTCGCCGACAATAAATTCTGTTAATCAGGCTTACAGTCAGATCAGTAAATTAAGGCAGTTGTCATCATGACGCGAATTTTCTTGTGATTCATCTCAGGTGTAACTTGAGTTCAAACTACTTGTCGCATCACTTACTTGCATGGTTGAATGTAATTTATATTACGTACACAACTGATGGGCTCTGCACAATCATATATACGTATATATATGGTTTTTAAGAAGTTATATCCGGTGAGGGAATTGAATCATAGGTGTGAATGCATAGAACAATAATAGTAGTATGAAATTAAATTAAAATATTTGTGATTATAATCATGTCGAGTGGCAAAACAATCAATGTCATAAATAGAATAATTCATAGGATGTATAGAACTTGGAAGGGGTGTGGAATTATGTGATTAGTAGACAAATGGGCTCTGCCCAGAAAAAGCAAAGTGGTACTCAGGTATTGACATCACTTAGATTTGGCCAGCAAGCAATACTGGTTGATTTGGGTTGTTCCTAAGTACTCCACTCAATCATTAATATATGTCATAATGTCGCTTTGCTTGCAGTCTTCATTGCTGTTTATTGCATCAACAGTAAATAGAATATTTACACACGAAACATTGATGAATTCTCAACTGGAACTGAGAAATTTTTCAACAGTGTATGTAACTGTCTACTGATATTGCGTCATCAGTGTTACACGTGTCTGGTTATCTAATATGAGACTGTTAAACATGATTTCTGAAAAAATAACCAGTAACCAGTAATTATCAGTTTAGACAGTTAATCAGTAGTTTCCTCAAAAGTTGGAAATTTTTTTCCATTCCAAGTGGAATATGGAGTTTCGATAATAATAATAATAATAATAATCATAGGGCTTTATTTCAGACATCATGTGAATACATGGCACAGACATTTTCAGCGTTCCAAAATATTTTGTCTTCACGTAAGATTTACAATTAAAGTAATAATCTGAATATCTTGTGACATAGTGTTGTTGTTGTTGTATATGGAGACAGAACCAATTATGTGTATGTTTTCTTCCTTTCCTGCAACAACTTCACAGAGTTTTCTTGAAAGCTAATTAAATATGTGCGTGAGTTCATGTAGTAATCATCTGATACAATTGCATGATTAAAACAATAAGAAATGCTGAAGAATTTCGGTATTTTTGTGCATGGAAACTCTAATGACAGCTCAGTGAATTAAGCAGGCTACCATTCTTCAATCTTTGAGGTTTCAGTACGTGACTAGCCTCGCACCCAACATTATCTCTTTTCCACACTTACAACCAGCTTAGCGAGGTTTAGGAGCGAATCGGTCGCGAGTCGAACCAGGACCATGTGCGTGGCTCTTGGAGATTAGACCCTTGAACCACCCAGAGTGATTAACAAAAATGTTTTAGTAATTTCCAAATTCCCATTTACGCATTTAGAAAAACACAACAGATTGAGCGAAGAAATATGCATTCTTTTTCAATTAGCTCCTCATCATCGGCTATACACTAATATATAGTTTTTTATATCAAACATTTTTACCAATCAAATGGTTATTTTAGTTAATCGGTTTTAGGTATAGGAGGGGGTGAAATTAAGAGGCTAAAGGTCATCAAAACAAATAACTAATTCCCATAACAAATTATGGGAATATTCAACTTACTGAAATAACTAATAGATGTTAGAACAAGATATCCACCTTTTAAAAGAGGAGCAATTATTAATTACGCAATTCAAGATAAGTTGATTCTTAGGATTTAGCAACAACTTATTACACAATCAAGAAATTTGTAGGATAGCAATGATTATTAGGAAGAATAGGATGATTCAGAAGGGTTACATAAGATACAAACAAGTTAACAGAATTAGATAGACTTGTAAAAAAAATTACAAAGTCAAAAGATAGTTAAAAGGGGAGGGGAGCAATCGTTTAAAAAAAACTTAATACATGTAATGTAGTTTGCCATTGTGAAGAAAGGGACTGTACAAATTGCTTTTGTACATTTGTTCCTCTTAATGAATTTGAACAAAGCAACAACTACAGATTTAGCAGAATAAAATGGTACCATATTTTATTTCGTCGCCTTCTCTTCAGCTGCTTACAGGGCAAAAACATTATTAAATGTATCTACAATAACAATTTTAACATACTTGCACAGAGTTCATTTTTAAACAGAAGTCAATCGATCAATATACGCATACACTAATAATATAAACATATATATATATGCAATCTTGAACACAATTCCGAGCATTAATAATCATACAAAATGAAAACTTTTCAGTATCTCGCATTAGGATGAAAAATATCCAGTTACCAGGGCAAAGAAAGACTGATAACTGCATCTTTCTGAACGCACAAATCAGGTTTTAGGCGCTTGATGGAAAAGGCTTCAGCAAACTTAAGGAGCATTGAACTCTTTTGCTTATTGATAATTTTGAATGACTTTTCCACGTCCACCTCATGACCCGTGTCAAGAAGATGCCTGGCGATGGCACTGCCTAAAGCATTTGTTCCCTTTAGACATAAGCTTTTTCGTACATGTTCAGAAAATCACTTAAAATGAACTCTGTGCAAGTATGCTGAATTGTTTTTGTAGATACATTTAATAATGTTTTTGCCCTGTAAGCAGCTGAAGAGAAGGCGACGAAATAAAATATGGTACCATTTTATTCTGCTAAAACTGTAGTGTTGCTTTGTTCCAATTTCTTTTGAACTGTTTTGAACAGATTCGGCTTGTTCAGATGAATTTCGATCGCCTCCGCTGCATGTAAAAGTCGTACTCGTAGACCATGAGATGACAGGTTGGGTGATATAAGATGAGTAACTTAAAAAGCTTTGTTAGAGTCGACTTGATGTCCAGTCAGAACCGACGAGATGAGCTGCGTATAGCTTTGTTCAGACTTTTGCCAAACCAAGAACGGAGGTGTTCAGAAACTTGTCGATTAAATTGCCTGATAGTACGCCCTATGTAACTAGCTCCGCATTGGCAGTTAAACTGGTAAATACACATGGAAGAGGCGTAACAGTTTTAATTTCATGTGTAATGTAATTGAATACATATTCACAATTTAATACACTGTAAATAATATTACATGGGTTTTCAAGTTTTGGTGAATGGCGCGAAATTCGAATCCCTTTAGTTCATTTTTCAGGCTTTATCTAATTAATCAGAGCTCTTCTAGAGTGTTACTCAATCACTTATTCCACCGTATCTTATAAGTGGAATCCTTTTCCAAAGAAAATACAGAAACTTCATCACTGAAAGCAAAAATAAACAATTTTGTTATTTATCTGCTTTTTCTTCTCTCTTTTTTTTCCCAAGGGTTTATTCTGCTTCCATGTACGCACTGTCGATATGGATGTTTTTGAAGGTAGGTTTATAAATGTGTGGTATATTTAATTAGTTAAAAATGTCCATTAAAATTTTTAAAAGACTGAGAACAGTAGACACAGATTATTCTTTTCAATAACGTCTTCTTCAGTTAGGTTCTACAGTTATATACCCATAATAATTAAGGCATTATTGTTATTATTTAATTCAATTTTCAGATTTCCCCGTCGATTGATTGAACTAAAGTGCTCTGTCTCAGATTGACATGTCAGCTCCTTGTGCAGATACTTCGACGATGTCTGGCCATGTAACTTGAAGTCAATTGGTGGATGGTGACTAGCAGTGGAATTCAGGATAACGCACATTTCGTCCTATATGGGACTCGTCAGCTAGTGGATTTACCTGCATTCCGCGGTGAGTGGTGGTGCTCCCACCAAGGCTCGAACCCAGTGCTCATAGTTTCAAACGCCAAAGTGTCATCCATTAGACCACTTAGGCGACGACAGCCACCTCTTGTGCAGCAGGTCTCATTAATTATTTAATTCAATTCTAGTGGGTAATGCTTTGGCGTCTGAAACTATGCGCACTGGGTTCGAGCCTCGGTGGGAGCACCATCACTCACTGAGGAATGCAGGTACATCCACTGGCTGACGAGTCCCAAAAAGGAAGAAATGCGTGTTATCCTGAATTCCACTGCTAACCACCATCCACCAACTGACTTCAAATTATTGTTATTGGCAACATTAAAGCCTTGAATAACACTGAATCAATAGTATCAGCAGATCACAGTTCAGTGGTATCTGTGAGTGATAATATTCATTAATAATAACACTAAACTGAATATAAAATAGATTTAGGGAATAGAGGATTTATGAATGTATAGGTTTCACAGCAAGTCAGGGTCGCAATAGTGGCTGAACCTGTTTCCTTTTTATAAACAGAGCTCCAGTTGTTTAAGGTGAATTGTAATGGCCTCTACTGTTTGGAGTGTTCAGTATCTACAGGCCTCTAGAAATTTATTCAGTACGCGACAAATGATAAAGGAAGACTCCTTAGTTCTATCTTTGTGGGATGCTTGGAAGAGGTGGTTTAATGCAGAACTGTTGGTATTCAATTTCTCACACAATTATTTAACTTATTCAATTAGTTAATTGATTAAATAATTACAGAAAATAATTGTTAATTAAAGAATTCCAATAATAGACTTGGGTACACACAGAATTCAAACTCTCTATACACGAACTTATTTTCAGCCTACGCATTATACCAGAACAAGCTTTACTTACCGAATTTTTGTGTAAATAATCAAAGAAATCAACTTGACGTTGTTTTAAACTTGCCTTAAAGTAACACATTGATATCTAAGTGTTGGTTTACGAGAATTTTATTTGATTGGTTACAGGATTTCATCATGAGCTGACATCGGTTAGGAAACCACTTAAAAACCAGCTGAGAGTACTAGACGATCATTTCGTCCTACTTTGGGACTCATCATCAATACGCACCGCCAAAGTCAGAACCTAGAACTTTCTGGTTACAAGATGATGTCGTAGACCATCCATCGACTGGGACCCAATCCAATGGGCATTGCATGAATTCCAGCTTCTGCCAATTCACAATGTAGCACGACCACCACGGAATGTCTCCAGTGAGTATTTGTCCTCAAACCCTACCTGCTTCGCTAGTAGTCGCACTATATCGTGAACTGGCAGAATTCGGAATTCGCGCACTGACCATTGGCTTAACGGTCTACCAGATTGTTAGCTCTGTAACCAGAAGGTCCTGGGTTCGAACCCTGGCAGTAGGTGTGGACTTGGCTGACGAAATATTATCTCCAGCTCATTGATGACTACTCGATTGATTTCTTGAAACTGAACTGAGAATTCTTGACCATTTGGATCCAGCAAACCAAACGGGCGAAAATGGTAAAAAGTGGGTGGATAAAGAGCACATAATGGGCATGGCCAAAAGTGAGAAAAAATGGGCAAATTTTATGCATATGACATAAGTTTTCTTATTTGGACCATTATTTAACTAAACTGTAACCAATATTTTAACAACAACTTTCCCATTTCAACTATTATTTAAGCAATATTTTACCATTTTGGTAATTATTTAATCGGAATTCGCCCATAGGGAATATTTTTCACGTGATTAATTGGTTATAATGTCGTGACTGGGGGAGCATTCTAGTCAAAACTAGACAATAACCAACAAATCACTAACACTTCCTTATAACAATGTCTGAATTGTACTGTTAATAGATCAGGACTAGAACACATGATCAGTGTTATATATACATTACTTTGAAATTCTAGAACAATGTACACCAAAAACAGATTGATTTTTGTTTGTATATCGACACGAAATCAACAGCAGAAAGGTAATTACGTCATATGAAGGTGTAAGAACCCTTCAAGGATTAACTAACTAGTCCTACAATTTTCATGGTATGAAGTATGCGATGAATTACCAAAAGTACTCGGATTGGACATTAGTAACTAGTGTGATGTGTCTAGTCCTTTCTTTTGATGCAGGCTGAATTCTATCAGTCAGGTTTACAATGTGGCCACTATTCTAGGTAGCTCGTAACCTTGACGGTTATAGATAGATATGTCTTGCTGACGAGTGCTAGGAAGCACGAAACTTAGATCCAAGACTTCCTGCCGATTGCCTACAACCAACCATCTAATATCATTTTCAAAAGTATTTACAGACGTCAATGAACATTTTCTTCATCATGCATTTAGACGGAAGACAAGTATGCCTCAGTAATGAAGACTAATCTATTGAAGGTAATCATCTTAGAATACGTTTCATCAGTTAAACCAATCATAATTGACTTGAATATTCTATTCCGAAAAGTCATGATCACTACTGTCTGTAAACATAAATAAAAATCAGTATAGTAGCCAAAATGTTTCTCTGATTATTAACAAAGTGAAAGCCAAACTATTTTTTTCGTTTTTCCGGTCATGTGGTTGTTCTTGCGCAAATTGTGGCCCATCTTTTTTTCAAGTGGAGTGTCTGTTCAATATATACATTTACATTCACGTGGTGTTACACTCTCTCACACTTACACACACACACACGCACACACCAAGAAAGACATCTTAGTCGTCTACAGTGCTAATTAGATTAGTTTTATTGATGGAATTTGGAAAGTGTAAATTCCAAATCTTTCTAACTGTTGATTTTTATTATATTGGCAAATGTTAGCAAGGTTTAAAGTGGATTGAATTTTCAATGCTAAAGTTTGTACAGAAGTGTAGAGATCCAAGTTGCTACACTTTACAGGAACACACATAATAATAATAATAATAATAATAATAATGATAATAAACAAAACTAAGTGGTTACAGGATTTCATCATGAGCTGACATCATTGGAAACCAGCTGGGAGTACTGGACAGTCTGCTATTTTGTCCTAATTTGAGACTCTTCATCAGTACGCGCCCACTGCCAGGGTTCGAGCCCAGGACCTTCCGGTTACAAGGCTAGCGAGCTCGTAGACCATTAAGCCACTGGAATCCGATTGAATGGCTAGTCGATGAATTCCAACTTATGCCAATTAACGATATATCGCGACCAATAGCGAATTCTCATCGTCAGCGAGTATGTGTCTTCTCAGCAGACTTGCTGCGAGGTGCAATTCTTTAGTAATTTTTTTTTCAAAGACGACTTCCTTAGAAAGACTGATAACTGTACACATTTGTGTCACACATATATTTCAGAAATGATTGCAATGGCTGAGGCGTTTCCATGTCGCGCCTTCATCTGATTCCTATAACTATGAATCTTTATTAGCTTTTTCCAATGTGTAACTTCCTTTGCAAGTGTTTTTGTTATCATTTGTCTTAACAAAAATTTCCTAATAAACTTTGGTTGCCAGTGGAACACTGGGCTTCAACAGCAAAACTCCATTTCATCCTGTCCTCTGCAGTCCTCTTTAGCTGATTCAACGTTTGCCCATAAGCTCTCAACTCCTCCATGTCACCGTTCGACCCGCACACAACAGGCTGTTTCCCATCAGGGTTCTACTCGAGCGATGCCCTGGTGTGATGTAACTCAATGGTCTCCTGAGCGTAAATTCAATCAATCTTCATTTCATCGTGCATATTTCTGGGCAATAAGTTCTTCAAATGAATTTTAGATTTTCCCGTCGATTGACTGAACCGAAGTGTCGGCTTCTTGTGCAGATGCTCCGACGATGTCTGGGCATTTAATTAGAATTTAATTGGTGGATGGTGACTAGCAGTGGAATCCAGGATAGGGCGCATTTCGTCCTATTTGGGACTCGTCTCCCAGCTGGATGTACCTGCATTTCCCAGTGAGTGATGATGTTCCCACCGAGGCTTGAACCCAGTGCGCATAGTTTCAAACGTCAAAGTTCTTCAATGATTCGCTTCTTGCCAGGGTTCCTTGTTACTAATCATTTCTAGCCGGCCATGTGATCTTCAGCTGAAATGTAGTTAGTGATAGTGATTGGTGCTTGTTGTTGTTGCTTGTTAGGTATGCTTATCCCGTCAATCTGCTTTATGTCCACCTGAAGTCCTGTTTTGTTTCCTGATTCTTCTTCTACCAACCTGTTGGTTCTCGTCTTTAGATCTCCGAGGTTTTGTGACATTATACATAAATCTTCTACGAGGTCTAGAGTCTTCTTGTCACATAGACGTATGTAATTCAATCTGTATACATCTATTGTGTATTTCGTATCTTTTTTATGTTTAATTAACTACCCTCAGCGCTGAATGAGTTCTGGTAGAACTTTTCACATAAAAAGAGAATTGTATCATAATAGTGGAATAAGAAACAACATTCATTTCACTTCCTTTCAAAAAATAAATATATTTCGAAATATACTTCATATTTAGTCATGTGAGGTGTTAGGTAATTCATAATAAGAACAGAACTTGAATAGAACAGGTGGAATATTTTCCATATTTGAGTAATCCATTTTATATAGTATGCAGGCAAACACATTGAGTGGTATAGTATTATTTACACTATTGTAGTAGTGGTTGTTGTACGTGGGTTGTG